GTTTGAATATAAGAAGCCTAAAGATATTCCACCCAGCTGTCGTTTGTGTTCATCACTTGATTGATGAAAACAAGTACACAATGTAATTATTATTATTATTATTCCATTGGATTCCGACAGGAACACTGGGCTTCAACAGCAGTCCTCTTCAGCTTACATCTCCTCCTTATACGACCTCGTTCATGTAAACACTCAGACTGACGCCCAACTCGTCATTTCCCATTTGGATTCTGCTCAAGGGTATGGCATGTGATGTCACCCGATGATCTTATCATCTTGTGTCCAATCCATCTCGATTTCCTTCGAAATATTTGTTGAGCGGAAGGTTCTACATTGGGTGACAGGGGAACCAGCTTACAAGAAGTCCAGAGAACAGGACAAAATGAAGATGTGCTGTTGAAGCCTTTTGTTCCACTCGGAATCCAAGGGACTTCGTCGGTGATAAATGTCTGATTTCCCACAAATTGGAAGATATGCAAGTGAAAAGCAACAAGTTGGCAGAAGAAGCATCCATAAAAGTTAGGACTTTAGTTGAACATAGATAAAACAGAGGTGAAGAAGATTCCTGGCCAACACCAACGGCAATAACAACAGACAACAATCAGCCAGCATAAATGGGAGGAACCTGAAAGAAACAACCTCCTTTACCTACCGACCTGGGAAGCATCGTATCAACCACAGGCGAAAGGAAGTGACGAGAATATAAAAGCCAGAATCGAAAAAGCAAGACAGGCTTTCATTACTCTTAAGTCTGTGTGGAGGTAAACGGAACACAACATCAAAAATAAGATCTGGATTTTCAAATCCAATATTAAGTCAGTGCTACTGTGGTGAGAGCAGGCTGCTAGCCGATTGGTTGGCACTAATCTACGTTAAGGTCTAGGTCATTAATATGGGCCGTGAACAAGCCTGAGTCAACAACCAATCACAGCAAAGTTAACGTGGCAAAATATGATTCGCAGAGAGAACTCTATTTGTCAAGGAATCCCGAAACAACCAATCAGAAGCCGGCGTTTGTCTACCTAAACAACCAATCAGATGACTGCGCTTGTCTATAATAATGTAGTTGAAAGATGTATAAATACGTGTTGATTTTCATAATAAAACGATCTGTTGCCTGGCCCTTGTCTTCTGTTGTTACATTTGGTGTCGCTGCCTACCGACAAATGAAAAGCCTATACCCTGCAGTTTTTGATGGAGACATATGGATCTTCGGGCAGGACTTCAAGGCTTCTGCGCAGTTGAGTGGCGTTCAAGATCTGTCAGCGATGGAGCTGCTACTTGAGACGCTGCTGGGAGGTCGGGCGAAAGCAGCATATGAAGGTGTGGGCCGAAGTATGGACGAATGTTCGACAGGGTCAGGCAAACAGTTTCCAAAGTGGGAAGGACCATATATGGTCACTTCGAGATGGGGTTACGCAGACACAGTCGCAATGGCGAACAATGAGAGGCGCGTGAACGTCAGCGAGCTCCAGAAATGGATACAGCGAGACAAGTCAACGATGACGCCTGCACCAAGTAGATCAAGCCGACTTCAGTCGCACGTATTTGACGGGGGGACGAGTGTGGTGAGAGCAGGCTGCTAGCCGATTGGTTGGCACTAATCTACGTTAAGGTCTAGGTCATTAATATGGGCCGTGAACAAGCCTGAGTCAACAACCAATCACAGCAAAGTTAACGTGGCAAAATATGATTCGCAGAGAGAACTCTATTTGTCAAGGAATCCCGAAACAACCAATCAGAAGCCGGCGTTTGTCTACCTAAACAACCAATCAGATGACTGCGCTTGTCTATAATAATGTAGTTGAAAGATGTATAAATACGTGTTGATTTTCATAATAAAACGATCTGTTGCCTGGCCCTTGTCTTCTGTTGTTACACTACTACACGGATCAGAGACTTGGCGAGTCATAAACAGCACTTCACACTAACTACAGAGATTCATTAACAGTTGTCTTCGCTCAATACTCAAGATCAGATGGCCGGTCAGAGGAGATCACCAACAGGGATCTCTGGCAATCAGCCAACCAACCAGGAACCGATTGTGAAACAAATAGGCAGGAAGAAATGGACATGGATTGGCCATACTCTGAGGAAACCATCAAGTGACATCACTAGACAAGCCATTGCGAGTGGAACCCGGAAGGAAGCGGCGAGTTGGTCTTCAGTGCAAGGGTGACTTGGAGGAGGTCATGTGAGGGGGAGATGAAAGCATGTGGGCAGACTTGGAGCGGAGTGAAAACGTTGGCAGAAAACAGAAGGCAATGGAGGTGCGCAGCTGAAACCCTATGTTCCCTAGGGATTAAAGGATATAATAATAATAATCGCTTGAAATAGCAAGATACGTGAGATACCTTATAGGAAGAAACACATTTAATCAAGAAAATGTCCTTTTTTTTCCATTCCTTTGCATTCTGCTTGAAAAGTAGAATTTCAAGAGTGAGCTTTGAAATTTCCGTGGTAGTGGTGTTGTTTATATGAGGTGAAGTCACTAGCTTCATGCCTAGCCTTACCTTTACACTGATTTACTATTGGTCAGGCGCGGTGTGGTAGTGGGTCGATCGGGAATGAAAACCAAACTGCGTGCTTGTTTGGCGGGCATTCTATCAGCGAACTATCAACTCTAAAGCTGCCATACTTTCTATTTATATTCCCTTTTTCAGTCCCTACGACGATTTTCTGTCAACTTACGCGCAGCATATGAAGAATATACTATAGCCTAATTGCAATGGATACAACGTTTCAGCCTTTATTAAATTTGAAAGGGCTGTTTCATATCTAAATACACTTGTCAGATATTTCTCGGCAGTTCACTTGTGCGCTACTAAGCCTAGAAATCACGAATGACTTGCTCTGTTGAAAGTACTCTGCCCATGAATGAATGAATGTCGTCTGTAGATCATAATTAACAGAGACAAAATAAAACATGCAAAACCTAAATACTGACATATTTATGGGGATATTTCCTCTGAAGCTTAGAGATGACAATAATCTGATTATATCAGGACATTGCCAAGATGTGCTCGTGAACACCAACCAACATGTGTGTAGAAAGGAGAAGGCACAACAGCCAGCAGCTCGATTCCGTAGTGTATAAACTGTAGTCACACAACACCAAGAGAGGCTATTCAAAAAGATTTCACCTACACCTCCCTCATGTAGCCGAAACTACAGCAATCCACAAAGGAAAACCTAAACTTGGTGTTCCGGAATATTTTGTGCGGCCTCTTTCATTACCATGGACTTAGTATCAATATTATTTTCTCGAACTAATGCATAGTAAACTTCATGCATTCCTGTTTTCATTTTTGTGACCGGATTTTACTCCTTTGCTCTCGTGTTCCGTTTTACAGTTATTTCCAAATGACTATCTAGTTGTCAACCCCTTTGTCTACGTAAGACTGCCTACTACTTTTCACACGTTTCTAGTTATAAACCAGGTCAACGTGGCTATCAGTAACTGACAACAACTTCTGAAATCTATTGTCTATCTAAACTGTATATATATAACCCCCTGAACAACTGGACAGCTATTCAGAGAAGCTACGAAAGTTGATCTCTCTGCTGATTTATGTTACAAAAGTCTTCCATTCATCGGGAATCCATCAGTTAAGTTTTAACTGATTAGTAATTCACAGCTTACAGGTGATTAAACACCACGTTCCATAAATTTCTAAGGATATCTGGTATCAATGAATTCAGTAATGAAAACTTATACCACTACATAAATTGGTAGACTCTTCTGAGTAATGAAAACTACTCTGAATTGGGATTAGTTTCATTCCACACCAGTAGTTGGAGTTACACTGGCTCTCTGAGCATAATAAAATAATTTCCTTTCAAATTCATTTGGATTTCCGAATTAAAGAATGAACACATTATTAATGAATGGACCTTATTTATAAGTTGTTCTGTAGACAGAGATAGTGATGAAATTATTATTATTATTAAATCGCCACGTATGCTACGGATAAATGTTTACAAGTAGTATATTGCATGTGATGTCTTTTCCAAGATTCTTTAATAACAGAGTGACAGGGAGAGTTTAGACGAAGTATATGTATTCCGTCATAACGGAGGATCATTTTGACAAATAAATACCTCTGTGTTCTCCTGCCACAATATTAACTGTGATTCTACATACTACTGACTGAACGAAATGAGTAGTTAGATATCACCTACACCGACGAGTTCTGCATTCTAGTCAGATCAATTTGCTCTGAACATCGGTTGGCTGTTTCGCTCATTTGAGACCAGTCTCACCAGCTGTTTGTCCTCTCCGACTCAACTTAGAAAGCCGAATCAATTCGAACTACGATTATCCTGGTTGTCTACTTTGGCAAAATGGCAATACACTCAGTCAAATGCAGTTTATGCATTCGGAGGAGAGACCTCACTTCACAGTTTTATTTTCAATCCGAAAATATTCAGATTGCAGTATGTGATCTGCTTAACATCATGAGTGGAAATCAAGAAAGAAAGAATAAATTCATGGCACTATATACTACTGCCCGACTGAAATAAGTAACTGAATTAATCAAATTGCTCACAAACTGCTCAATGAAGTCTGGAAAAAAATATCTGCTCTTGAGAGTAACATTTCACACAGATCAATGCATTAAACGTGCAACATAATTTTGAAACACACATATACATACATAAATGTATTGCAAGTTGATATAAATTCCTTGTTATGACCAGTGTTCCATGTAATTTCAGTTTAAAACGAATAAAGCAATGTTCAATTTTTTTTAATGGCTCAAGATCTCACACCATTTTGGTGTGATATTATCGTGTTAATTCATAAATTACTCTAGGTGTTTTTTCGAAACCTTCCTTCCTGATAATGAAATCTGATATATAAGCATATATTATGTATATAGAAGAATGTACAAACGGTCGTCTATATTAAGTCTACATGAGTATGAGAAATAGGAATCAGATCTATCGATTACTGACAGATTTAAAAATCTACCAAGGCCAGCCATTTGTGTTTGTGATTAACAAGTGCTTAATTAACTTCAATAATAAAATATAAAGGAAGTTTAGTAAATTACTCATTCATTACTAAATGTTCAATCATCTCATCAACCGCGCGATAATCCTGTTTGTTTTAATTATCTATATTAGCATAATGTATTGGACATTGAACAATAATGATGTTGGTTATACGATGAAGAAAAAGGAAATATGCTGTAAATATAAATTAGATATAAGTGAAAAAGAATAAATAATGAAATTATTATTAAAAATATTACTCATATACAACGTTTATTCCCGTTTGAATCAAGAAATACCATAGAATATAATAATCAAAAAGCCACAACATATATGAGAAATGCCTATGATTATATTATCAAACAATTATGTCAATTTCATAAAGAATTAAATAAAACTATTAGCAGACATGATTGCTGTACAATGAACTTTGATTATAATTATTGTTTGAATGAATTGAATTCACTTGGTTCCATGCCTAAAGTATACAGTCGGAGGAATTCACCAGCAGGTCAACTACCGGATACACCATCAAAGTATAATTTATCCCGCGTTATAAACATAAATGTGAAAGTACGACTTGTAAATTAAGTAATGGAAAACGCAAAAAATTATACGGTTTGTTGAAAGAATGGATAAGTATAGCTGAAAAATATAAAATTATATGGTGGATAACGTTTGGAACATTGTTGGGATCAATAAGGTATGTTTGTCCATTAACTGTTTTGTCCTAAACTCAACTATTCAATGTTTTATTATGTAATTTTCAGGTGAAATTGCCCATCGAAGTTGGTGATTTCCGATGACACGGTGCACATTGATTCGATGATATTACATGGTTGGAGGCAATCGGCAGGGAGCCTTGCTTGGTCCATGTTTCGTGCTAGTTGGCACGAAACAGTCAGAAAGGTGTATCTGCAACCCTTCTGAGATTCGAACCTGCGTCACCCAGTGCTGCAGTCACAGCCGTTACCACTGAGCTATTCGGGCTCTCGATTGACCTCCTGTATGACTGTAGTGGGTACCTTGATTGGACACTAGTAACTAGTGTTGACCTTAACTGACTCAGAGGCTTGGTGGGTTGACCGTTGCCCAGTAACACTCTCATTATGTAGATGATTTTGGTCTATGAGACGAAGACACTGAACACCTTGAACAGGAACCTTCCAATGTTTGCCATCAATTGTAAGATGACTTTGTATGGCTAGAATACACCGACTCCTAGCTTAAAGACTGGAAGTGAATCAGTAGAACATGTTAACTACTTCACTTTTGGGGGAAACTGCACCAGCCCTAATCGACTGGTTGTTAACAAAATCTCATCCTGAATGAAAAAGGTTCGTGAGACGTCTGCCGACTAGCGTCATCTCTGCAGTAAATATGATATCCTGCTGTCGATCAAAAGACATGCTCGCTACTCAGCGATTCGCTCTACCCTTCTTTGTGGCTGTGAAAAATGACCATTAAAAGCAGGAGAAGTTGTCTCTGACCATGAATGTTTGCCGTCTCCCACACCAAGTGGTGTGTTGTGGTAAACAATATGAAAGGTTGGTGTATCATTTGGTAAAGACATTACGTCAACGAATGAGGTTTTGAAGCTACAGCTATTGAGAAGGCCAGAACACGCATTAGTCATGCCAAGCCACCGCCTTCGTCGACGAGCAATAGTAGCTGACAAAGAATTAGTTTTGAAAAGATTTAAGTATAATCAAATAAAAACTTGGCAATAGTTCATGAAGTCCTTGACAACTGATTTCAGCCAGGTAGGGAGTTGTAAACTCTCTGGAAGGAGACGTTGGAGGTGTTAAGAACCAATGGTTAGAGACTACTATTGGTGGCATGGCTCAAAATCGTTCTCAGTGCTTCATATGCATTCACTCTTTATGTTCTGCAGTACTCATCATACCGATATACTTTTTCATGTCAATTATCTTTCTCCCGCACATTTCTTTTCGTTATAACTCTTCCTAGTCTCTTCTTTCTACCTTTGTGTACTACATGGAGTGTGACAAGTTGAACTGCCTCACCTCTTTGAATAGTTCTATACTGGAATTCACTCAATTAGACAAATCAAAAAACCTACTCACTATGGTCTGCTTAATTAATGTTTTGTTAAATCTAATCGTAATAACTTTCCGGCATACTTATGAATTATTTTTCCCTCTTTAGAAATAATGACATTATCCCATATGATCATGATGTGGATGTGGCTGTCTTAGACACATATGAACCAATCATAAGAAAACTGGCAGATGAATCAAAGCAGTCTCCTTCAGGAAATGTAAGTTATATATTTACAATGTAAAGCATAATTGATTATTAAATGTGTGCTGAAGGAAACTACACTAAAACTAGTATTACTATTAGTGTGACTTAACTATGCATGAAAGGTAATTGTAACTAGTGTGCCACAGGTTTCAAAGCACCTTCCTTTGAGTCAAACAGGTAATGCGTCACGTCTTCATAGTGTTTAGTCCAACCAAAAGTATATCGAAAAAGTTAATTAGGAGTAACAGGCCACATCACTACTTTATTCACTAAATTTATTATTGTAGATTTGTTGCACATTGTTCGGTCGAATCATTGTTTTAAAAGAATGGCTACTGAACAAAGAATACTCTTTTGGATAACTTCATCATCAGGTTCTACAGTTACATGCATAATAGTCAGTGAATTAGTGCTATTAACAACACCAGCTTCGTGTCCCTTTGAAATACAAGGACAATCTGATAAAGTGCTTGGTTCACAGAGCAACAGCAATCTGCTTGGATGCATGTCTTGATGAGAAACTTAATGATATTCACATAGCGCTATTCTATCTCATCTTGTGGAGACAGAACACAAAATTGGCGTTAACCATGCTTTCACGATCATTTACCGCATACCAACAAATCTCAGTTTTGCCTTAAGAGTTCGACTACTAAATATTGCTGAGGCTGTTGGGATCCACATTAAGAAGCCTAATTTGTGCGTCCAAAAGAAGTTAGTTCAGACATTATCCTTACCTTGGCCATCTAGGTTGGAATGATCATGAATTTTTGTAGGACTTTTCTATTTGCTACTATATCTTTATTGTTATTAAAATTTAAGCATCTTTATTGAACTGCAATTCCACTGATCTTACTTTACAAATCGATATTATTTAAAAAAAACTAATATTGTTATTGACTAGCATTCTAGAATATTCTATGTATATAATCATATATATATATATTATTATTTATTATTGCTCCCTTGGGTTCCTAGTGGAACATAGGGCTTCAACTGCACGTCTACACTTGACACTTCTGTCTTCTGCTGCTGTACTTTTCACCTGAATCCATCTCAGTCCATACTCTTTCAACTCCCCTTCACACGATCTCCTCCATGTCACACTTGCACCGACGACCCACTCGCCGCTTCCCTTTCGGCCTGGTTCCACTCCAGCAATGGCCTGACGCTCGCGCGATGTCACCCAGCGGCCTCTTCAGCCACGAGTGTCCAATCCATCTCAATCCACTTTCTCCTGCATATCTGTTGGTCGGCGATTGGTTCTTGTTTGGTTTGTCTGTGCCCATAGTTTCTTGTTGGTGACTCTTTCTGGCCCGACCATCTGATCTTCAGTATAGATCCAGCGAAGACAGTTGTTGATAAATGTCTGGTCTGCAACAGGCTGTTGGAAATATTCCTTGTGACCCTCCCATCAAGTTTCTGATCCGTATAGAAGAACTGACTGACTTGACGTTTGTATTGAAAATCCGAAGATATATATATATATATAATTGTAGAGTCGGAAGAGGAAGTTATCGAAAATGATATTCTTTGCTCAATTATTTTGTGTTTTATAGACAGAAAATGGTTGAGAACTAAATATTCACTGTAGTTTTGGGGCTCATCAATACCTGAAGTAGAATCATTTTATCAGGTCCATCTATTAGCTAGGTCTAAATAAGATGAAACATAACTTCTGACTTATGTGATGTAACCCACTGGACTTATTTTTTAACCGAATATTATCCCTTTTTTATTCACGCATAATCTGTAATTCAGAGATCATAGATCATTAACTAAGGCTCATTAGCGAAAAAAGGATACTCTTTTCAATAGTTTCTTCATCAGGCGTTCTAGTTTAATGTCCGTTATTTGGAAACTACTCGGGTACTAAGGAGTATACCAAATATTCATCAACCTTATTCAACAGCTGTACGACAACGACGGCACATGTCAAGTGATCCACAACAGAAAACTCACCAAGGCGTTTGGAGTAAACATAGGAGTCAGACAAGGCTGCATACTTATTACCACCAATGATATTCCTAATTGTGGTGGATTGACTGGATTATGCGTCAGACAGTGGGAAACGAGAAGACAGGAATATCCTGGACCACTGACGTGAAGAACCTAGAAGACCTGAATTTCGCGCGTGGGTGATTTATGTTTGATGTCACTGTCACAAAACCGAAGACTTACAAGCGAAAACCGACAAACTGGTCGAAGAAGCAGCCGGCGAAGACAGGACTCCAGGTGAACATAGACAAGACGGAGGTTATGAAAATAACCACCCAACTACAACAACAGCAACATCCAGCGACAATCACCATCAACTGGAGGGATTTGAAAGAAGTTACCTCATTCACTTATCTAGGGAGCATCGCCTCAACTACAGGCAGTCGGAACGGACGAGGATGTCAGATCGAACAAGAATCGGGAAGGCGAGAAATACATTCATCAACCTGAAATCAATCTGGAAATCTTCGTTACTCAGCCAGCATCAACAACAAAATCCAGTCGGATTTTCAAGTCAAGTCTGTCAGTTCTTCTATACGGATGAGAAACTTAGTGGGTGGGTCAGAAAGAATATTTCCAACAGCCTGTTGCAACCAAACCTTCATCAACAACTGTCTTCGCTGGATCTATACTGAAGATCAGATGGCCGGGCCAGAAAGAATCACCAACAAGAAACATGGGCACAGACAAACAAAACAAGAACCAATCGCCGACCAACAGATATGCAGGAGAAAGTGGATTGAGATGGATTGGACACTCGTGGCTGAAGAGGCCGCTGGGTGACATCGCGCGAGCGTCAGGCCATTGCTGGAGTGGAACCAGGCCGAAAGGGAAGCGGCGAGTGGGTCGTCGGTGCAAGTGTGACATGGAGGAGATCGTGTGAAGGGGAGTTGAAAGAGTATGGACTGAGATGGATTCAGGTGAAAAGTACAGCAGCAGAAGACAGAAGTGTCAAGTGTAGACGTGCAGTTGAAGCCCTATGTTCCACTAGGAACCCAACGGAGCAATATTAATAATATATAATAATTAAAGAATTATTAGCAACATTAATGCTGTTTTAAATTACATTGGATCAATAGGATCGTTAAATTACGTCTCAGAAGCACCTGTAAGAGATAATAAGCACCAAAATATCAGATAATCTAGAGGAAGCAAGACAGAATTTATGAACTGATAGGTCCTACAGCAGGCCAGGTTAGCGATAGCGACTGAGTGAACCTGTTTCTTTTGTACATAGAGCTCCGGTCGATTTAAGCAAATTTCAGTATTCTCTCCTGTTCGGAAATTCCAGTATATAGAGGCCTTTGGTAATTTATTTAATACCAGATAGATGATAGAGAAAGAATCTCCAATGCAGCTAGCTTTGTAGCCTGTTTGGACGAGGTGATATAATATCGAACTGATGATGGCTTTTACTACGCTTTTATTTAGTCACTCTAGCGGCTGTTCCACAGATCGACAAAATTAAGTTCGTAGAACAACAGCTGACAAAACTGGCTGCACAGTAGCAACTGAATTGATGGATACACTTAGAGTTGGCTAGCCTAGATACTTCATCTTCCACAGTTTCGGAATTACAACAGATTGTACGGGAGATATGAGCTGCAGCTTACCATCGTGAAACATTATTTGAATTGATTTTCTCAACTGGTTGGTTATTATTTCACTGATCACATCACCTTTGAGTTGTAGTCATTTATATATATATATATATGGGCATAGAGATACAGAAGAGTCCTTTTGTACTCTCTCGGCCATGTGTCCAGAGATGAACTTGCAGTATAGGGGTTTTCAATTAGTGTGTCGTATACAACCTTAAATTCATCTTCAATAACATCTTCGGAACAAATACCTCTAATCCTATAGCTGAGGGTGTTTATCAAATTTCTTTTACAATGGAGAGGAGTAAATCTGTGAAAGTGTTTATACTGACCGATGGATGTACTTTTCTTATGCCGATTCCTTTTATACCGCCGTCTGGTCTTCTTGTTTGCAGGACCTGTAGAAAGACAATTTTACTTTTGGATTCTTCTTCACACACGTATTTGATATTTCAATGTACTTCATTGAATTGAGATATTACTGCGTTCATATTCAAATCATTTTCACAAAGGATGAATGTAGTATCAACCATGTGTTTCAACTTTAATCTGATATGCAGACGACTACTGTATTTCATCGTTCTTGAGTGAAAACAAAAACGTAGAATAATTTCATACTACTTATTACGTTTATCATTAGTGATAAAATAATAATCACATTTTTACCCTTTGGTATTTTTATAGTTTAGAATTGTGACACGTCCAGGTAATTACTGTGTATATGACAGAGGATCACGAACCAGTTGTTATGGTTATCCAGTTCCAATAGGAATTGACGAGTGTTCATTTTGTCTACCAGTGGCAAGAATAGTTCTTAGTAAATCTACATTTTTAGACTTATTTTCAGCACGTGTTGAATTGCGTTTAAACACGCATGGTGAATTAATTGATTTTGGTATATTTGATGAAGGATATAACAGTGAAACTAATGGAATAAAATACTATCCTTTAATTATATATTCCCTTTGTCGAAATGTTTATTTATGGATTTATATGTTCCATGTCCTAGACAATCTGATTCACTTTTATCTCTATTCTATGGGAATAATTATATAAAACCAATCAAGTATTGTAATAAATTTTTATAATGACATTATACAATGTTATTTGTTGAGTATTTCGTAGTTTGATGAACTTATTGATAGTAGAAGTGACAGTCTATGTGTACTAATAAGAAATAAACATATTCACATTGACGTTAAGTCTTTTTACTTCAGCAATTATTATTACTATTATTCCCTAGGGTTGCGAACAGAACATAGGGATTCAGCAGCACGTATCTATTTCACTCTGTCCTATGAAGTCTTTCTCAGCTGGCCCCCCACATCTTCCATAAATTTTTATTTCCTCCTCACATGGTCTCTTCCACATAACGTCCAACTTCTCGTTTCCCATACGGGTTCCACTTGAGTATTCTCTAAGCCTAAGTGGTGCGTCGGTGGCATAGCGGTTAGGACGCTCGCCGACCATGCACATGGTCCAGGGTTCGATCCCCGGCCGATGCACTCCTTCACCACACTCAGCCAGAAGTAAAAGCTGGTGAGGAGAAAAGGTTGGGCATGAGGCTAGCAACCACATCCTGTAAAAATAAACACTGCTACAGAAACTTCAAGCCGCTAGCTTGAAGCCCTTTGTTCCACTGGGAACGTGAAAAGAAAAAAAAGTGGAATCCAACTCCATTTAGGTAGTAGGTTCTTGGATTGTTCATTTCCAGAATTCCTTGTTGATAATCCCCTATGATAGGTCTTTCCCCTCTCTATTATCAAGCCAGAGAAAGTATGTGTTGACGGAATTTTACAGTGGTCTTTGATTGAACACTGATATCTGTGGCGAAGGCATCCCTCGTAGTTTTGTTCTTCAGTTTCTGAATCTGGAACTTGAATTGCGGTCTATCTCCACTTGTTTTCATGGATCTCAACTTCACCCTGAAGGTTCCTTGAACTAGATAATGGTCTAAGACAACGTCTGCTTCCTTCTTGACTTTGTATCCAGGAGGCTACGTCTCCACATCCTTAAGAGTGATATGAAATCTTTTTCGTTTGCGGTTTGTCCGTCAGCCGAAATCCATGTTGTCTTGTGCATACACTTGTATTTATATACTCTCCCTCCTATCACCAAATCGCCAGAAGAACGGAAGTCTGCGAATGATTCCGCGTTCTCATGCAATTCGCCGATTGACAGCCTGTCGACCCATAAGGAATTCTCTTCCTGTATTATCTGCTCCCAAGTTTGAAAATTCATATCTCCCATGAGGATTTCGATATCACCATCTGGGATGTTGTTCATTACTGTTTGTGGCTATCTGTAAAACTTCTCCTTCTTCTCAGGTTCCGCGTTGTTTGTAGTACCGTGCATAGCATTGGATAATTGTTACCTTCCTTCCTTTTGAGTTAAATCTTGCTGTCATGATCCTGGATGAAACTGGTTCCCACTGCATTAAAGCTTTGGCAGCCACTGGTGACATCACGATAGCCATTCACTGAGTCAGTGTTTTCGTGGTTGTCATCTGGGTGACTGAAGTAGATTACTCACTCTCCGATTGACATTGTCGTCAATCCACATCCATTCCATCTCCTTTCGTAAATACCCATCACTTCTAAGCCATATCTTCGCATCTCTTTGGCTACCTGGGTCGCCTTCTCAGTTTCGTACATTGAACGGACATTCCACGTACCCATTCTTACTCTTGCATTCATCGAGACATCGACACATGGGCTGACTGGCTTTCCGAAGGCTGGCTTTCACTAGCCTACTGTGTCATTTCGTCTCTCTAATTTGAGCGAAGAATACGATTTTGATTTGAAGTTTTTGTATTTTTAATATATTTTCCATGTGTTTAAGTTTCTCTAGTGGTTTGAAAGATTTAGTGGTGTGGGATTGCTAGCCCCATGCCCAACCCTCCCTCTTTACACGGGCTTGCAGGCCGGCTAGAAAACTAGCGAGCTGGTTAACTAGACGAGGTTAAAATCAATACCATTTACAAAATAAACTGTATGAACTGTAACAGACATTACATCGGTCAGAGTGGATGTCCCCTTCGAATCTGAATCCAGGAACACAAATTGGCTGTAAAAAGACATGATATACATTCTTTCGTATCAATGCATGTAGATAATTATGGCTACTAGTTTGATTGGGATAATATAGAAATTTTAAATAAAGGAAACACTAAAAATGCCAGGGAATTTCTAGAAGCCTGGTACTCAGGTTAATCAGTGATTAACAAACAAATTGCTACAGACCAAATTTACCAACTAATAAAAAGTAAATCAAACGACACGAAAGTTTGAATTCCAGTTCAATAAAAATGATCAATAGGGATGTAAATTAACAACCAGTCACGACAGCGGTTGCCAGGAGATACAGTTATATCATTTACGGAGAACTTAAATAAGTTCATTCCAAACTGAAACCTGCCCTGAAGATGTTGTCTCGACGGGTGACGAAAGCTTCGCAACTGAATCAACCAGCTCAGAGAACACAACTAACTCAATATCATCCAACTGAGCTACAAATCTTCTCCAATACATCTGATTTATCTCAACATTCCGTTCCAAACATTTTCAATTATTCAAGTGTTATCAGGATTTCATCATGAGCTGACATTAGTTAGAGAACCATTGGAAAACCTGGGAGTACTGGACAGCTGTTTCGTCCTAGTTTGGGACTCTTCAGCAGTACGCACCCACCGGGATTCGAACCCAGGACCTTCCGGTTACAAGGCGAGCTCGTATACCATTAAGCCACTGGGACCCGATCCAATGGTCCTTGAATTCTAACTTCTGCCAATTCACGACATAGCGCGACCGCCAGCTGTTTCGTCCTAGTTTGGGACTCCTCATCAGTACTCACCATCAATGAAAATAAGTTACTGAAAAGTGGTGGTTTAAATAATCTTTTATTCTCTATTATCTGCATGCGTATTTGAGGTAACTGATTCAAGTGGATTTCAAAACCGCTCATAAATGGCAAACTTTAGTTGTCGATACCATTACCAGAACACTAAACAGTTAGTGATAGGAACCAATATAAAAATTGTATATCATCATTTCTGAAGCCTATTGTGATTTCATATGTGTGCGATCAATCATTTCTCACAACTGTGAAACGACTATATTGTTGTAAAGAAAATGTATAAATATGATGTGTTGTTTGCTAATAAAAACACAAGTATTTTGATGTGGTTGTGTTCTCTAAATTTCATGGTTTATTTGCGAAGCTTTCATCACCCTACTGGGTGACATCTTCAGCGCATACATCAATTCTCTGAAGTGAGCTTTTAGATTTCTCCAAGAGTTTATTAATCATCTCTCCTGGTGACTTTGGACGTGATTGGTTGTTTTTGTGTGTTTTCACATATTCCAGATTACTTGTATTGGAACTGATTGTTTTTTTGACTTGAACTTTGACCCTTTGTGTGTGAGGTTTCTTTCTTATCGGTTGATAAATTCTGTCCGTGGTTGTCTGTATGTGGGGATATGAGGGAGTGGATATCATGTCTTTCGACGGCTAGCTTGTATTCGTGGATACGAAGACGAAGGGGACGTCCACTTTGGCCAATGTAGTGTTTTTCTCAGTTGTTACAATTTACTCTGTAGATGATGTTGGTTTTGTCTTCTTTCGCTGTTCAGTTTTTTGGTTGACATGGAATTGAGTGAAGTGACTTTATTGGTTTGTGTACAACGTCGATTCCTAAAGGTTTGGAAGAGTCTTGTAGCGATTTCTGAGATATCCTTTATATATTGTAAGACGATTCTCTTTGTGCTTTCCTTGGAGGCTTTTGGTTTGATAGGTTGGCTTGGGGGTATATTCGACTGGGACAACCAACGCCCAAATATTAGACAGAGGAAACAACAAGAATGCTAGAGAAGTTTTAGAAGCCTGCCTGGTATTTCAGTGAATCATCATTCAATAGATACATCGAGATAGACAAAATTTATCAACCGATAAGAAAGAAACCTCACACACAAAGGGTCAAAGTTCAAGTCAAAGAAACAATCAGTTCCAATGCAAGTAATCTGGAAGATGTGAAAACACACAAAAACAACCAATCACGTCCAAAGTCACCAGGAGAAATGATTAATAAACTCTTGGAGAAATCTAAAAGCTCACTTCAGAGAATTGATGTATGCGCTGAAGATGTCACCCAGTAGGGTGATGAAAGCTTCGCAAATAAACCATGAAATTTAGAGAACACAACCACATCAAAATCATCCACCTGAGCTGCAAATCTTCTCTATGATGTCACAGGCCAACCTTTGTCTTTTGATATTTGAGTGATTCAATGAAGCGGAAGGTACAATGGACGAATAGTCGTATTAGCGTACCAATCGATTTCATTACCGTTCTAACAATGAGATGTGCATATATAACAGGATTTTAAATAAACATTTCTGTCAGCACACTGAATGTCTTCATAGTTTTGACTTCGATAAATTAATGTTATAGCTCATACAATAAATAAAAATAATAATTTTTCCTTCACGTTCCCCTGTGGAACATAGGGCTTCAAGCTAGCTGCTTGAAGTTTCTGTAGCAGTGTTCATTTTACAGGATGAGGTTGCTAGCCTCATGCCCAACCTTTCCTCTTTACCAGCATTATTTCTGGCTTAGCGAGGTAAAGGAGTGCGCCGGCCGGGAATCGATCCCCGGACCATGTGCATGGTCGGCGAGCGTGCTAACCGCTATGCCACCGACGCAGTATAGCTCATATATTCTCTCTTATTTTGTATTTGATCAGTCTACATGAAGCTAAATATACGTAATCATAAGAACGGCAAATGATTACCAATTCTTTACGCCTACAACTATGATGCACCAGGGTTATTCATCCAAAACGGGAAGCTTAGCGAAGGGTTTGAAGTAAGGGCAGGAATAAGAAAAGACCACCAACTGTCTCATCGACTGGATTTCTCATTGTGGTGGACTGAATCGTGCGGCGAATCGAAGGGAGAGAGAAGACAGGGATACGTTGAACTGATAAAAAACAATGGAAGATTTAAATTTCGACGATAGTTGCAGACCAGACATTTATCAACAACTGTCTTCCCTGGATCTATGCTGTAGATCAGATGGCCGGGCCGGAGAGAATCACCAACAAGAAACTATGGGCACAGACAAATAAAACAAGAACCAATCGCCGACCAACAGATATGCAGGAGAAAGTGGATTGAGATAGATCGGACATTCGCTGAGGAGACAGCTGGGTGACATCGCGCGAGCGCCAGGCCGAAAGGGAAGCGGCGAGTGGGTCGTCGGTGCAAGTGTGACATGGAGGAGATCGTGTGAAGGGGAGTTGAAAGAGTATGGACTGACATGGATGCAGGTGAAAAGTACAGCATAAGATAGAAGTGTCGAGTGGAGACGTGCAGTTGAAACCCTGTGTTCCACTAGGAACCCATGGGAACAATGATAAATAATAAGGATTTGGAAAGCAAGACTTGAAGTTTATTACTAGGAAGTCACTTTCAACACGCCAGCGCCAAGTTAGTTCAGAGAATTGGTGATTGCATCAGCGACAGCATTTTCAACTTTTGCCGACAGTTACCGTCTTCGCTAGATACTGAAGACCAGATTTTCAGGCAGAAAGGATAAGTAACAAGGTGTGATAAAAACTGTCTGCTAGCTAAAATTGGTAGACAGCAATTTACGTCAAAGTTTACGTCCCAAATTAGGGTCATCAGAAAGACAATAACAAAGCTTAACCTTAAGGAACTAACCAACCAGTCACAGCAAACTTGACATGTGCAAATACGATTCGCAGATATATGACCTGACTTTATAAGAAACGGCCACAAAGAGATGACAGAATAACCTTGAATAAGAAAACTACAAATCAGAAGACGCTGCTTCTCTGCTAACAATAAGGAATAATAATGTACATAAAAATCTGTAAATACCTCTTGATTTTCTCAATAAGCAATCTGTTGCCTGGCTCTTGTCTTCTGTCGTTACAAAGGAACTCTGGTAGACGGGGAATCAACCGACGGCCTTTTGACCAACATTTCTGAAGAAAGAAATAGAGATGAGTTGGATAGACGTTGTAGAGACAGTCAAGTTAGACGACACATCAGGCCGTCAAACTAAACCCAAATGGAAAAAGACAAGTTTGGTGTCCGAAGGTGACATGAAAGTGATCATGTGGCGGGGGAGGGGGCGAATGAAAGCTTGTAAGCGGTTACAGAGCCGACTGAAAGTGATAGATGAGAATCAAGTGCGATGTAGACGAGTTGCAGTTGTAACCCTATGCTCCACTTAGAATCCACAGTAAGAATAGTAATATCAGAATATAAGAAAACCAGCTGTTCTATCTCTTAGATATACATGGTAAGAATAAAATGGCTGCCGTATATATATATATCAAAAAAAACTACTATTGCTGATAATGTCACCTAGCTTGAATAAGAAACAATTAAACCAAAAGCAAACCCACGAAGTCACTTAAAATATATTCTATTATTTATGTACACACTATTTTTGGAGGGAAAAGGAGAATGTACACAGGCATATGATTAAACGTACACAGCCATGCAAATATTCACAAAGAAATGTTGTTCTCATTTTAAACACATCAACAAGATTATCAACAAATCAAGGAGTTACAGTCTGTTCAATTAATTTTGCATTAATTCTAGTAAAAGTGCTTTCAGCAGACGTGCTTCATATGTAACAGTATTTTGTCCTGGATGGATTTTCACCGATTCAATTGGTTGATCAATGACAACTTTTATGTCACGTCCATATACTATGAAAAAAATACAAAATAATAATAAATTTACAAACTACCCAAGAATTATGCATAACAGTGTGTTAACTTACTAAATAACAGATGAAAAATCGAAAAAAAAACTCATTAATACACTATCTCATTGAAGATCTGAGTTCATCAGGTTAACATTAAGTCTAATTAGAAGTTAATTAGTGGATGGTAACTAACAGTGGAATTCAGGATGTGCATTTCATCCTTTTTAAGACTCGTCAGCTGGATGCATCTGTGCATCCTGAATTCCACTGATAGTCACCATCTACCAATTAACTTTTAATTACATGCCCTGACATCGCTGAAGCATTTGCACAAGAAGCCGATATGTCAACCTGACATCGAACACTTCGGTCCAATCGAATCAATTAAATAACATTAAGTCTGATCAAAAAATATATCATGTAATTCAGTTAACAGAAAGTTCACCTAATAACCCGTAAGATACTGATTAGAATAATGTAAGTGTGGAACTTTGGCCACATTGGTAGAATGTAATTCCATATTAGATAAGTTTATTTGAATAATCACACAGTGATGGAGTACTAACAACTGGATGACGTTTCAAGCATGAATTATTGCTCATAATCATTTCAATTTAGTCACAAGGTTTCACAATCTGTCTTATATATATATACTCTATCTCACCAAATTCATTTTTTTGTTTGTTGCCACTTTCCATATCTCCGGTATACGCGTTGCGTCATTCCGATTGCACTCGTGCGGTGTTGAGTCAATAAACAAAGTTTTATTGATCAACCTGTCTCTTACTCCACCTAACTTCATTACTTTTTAATCCTCTCACCCTGTCCCACTCACCGTATTTTGGGGTTACATGCATATGTGAATGCAGTTCAGTGGCTGGGCTTTTTTCTAGGTTATTTAACTTAACAGGAACAATTGTTCTAGGTCTAGCTAGATTTTTGTTCCAATAATCTAGTTGACCCCGATCTACTAGTTTCGCCTATGCAATTGACCTGACAGTCATTATATGATTTTCCTAATTGTATCTATTTGGTCCTTAAGTGGAAAAAGTTTATCTCTGCAAGAGTTGACTGGTTGGTTTAAATACTACCCGGCCGATAACTGCTACCTCGTCGTGGTGGTCGGGCTTGAATACCGTAATGACCCAACAAGCTAAACTGACTGGGACTCTGTCCCTGCAGGTCCTACCATGTCAGGAAGGTTGTTTGGATAGCGGTTAAACTAAATGTAGTTACCATAGGTTACATTGGCTCCAGTATCCAATCGGATTAAATGGCGTATGAGCCCATATGGGTCATCGGAAACCATGGGAATGCAGCTCCTGACGCTGCTCCGCTACCTTGTGGATTAGACTCCAAGTCAAAGGCTCGGGGGTGGTGGTCTCTTAATAAAACCGCCTGCTTTGGTCTGGGCGCCCGGGCAGTAATCTCAAACCTCACACAATGAACTGAATGAAGCAACAAACAATCAAGGAAACTTATCGCGTGCTATTACACGTGTTGCAATTTCCTTCTTTCTTCCCTTCCCGATGATAGTTAACGCATACTGTTTGAACTTGTTAAGCATGACTGTCTTCCTTCCAGATGAAGTTCTTTATCCGTTCTGTACTTATATATGTATATTTTTTTCTCTTCTTTCTTTTTTTCTTTTGATCTATGTTGTTTTATTATTATTGTGTGGCGCATCCTTCTTGGTCCCATATTGTACCAAGTTTTTATGCGTTTAAATACATAAATAATAAATAATTAAATACCAACCCAATTCCAGCCTCAGTGAGAGGCCTTCTGACGTCCCTTCTTTATACAGCAGTACTACAGAGGCTTTGAAGTCTATATCATTTTCGTCATTGTTACTGCTAATCTTAGTTTATCTATGGTTCTTCATATATTTCTGAATAAACTCTGGTGGGTAGTTGTTATTCACTAGTAGTACCTCATTTATTTGTTTGATTTCGTTATTTAAATCTTCTAGTTTACCAATTAGGCGCTTGGCAACCAACAGCATAGGAAAGTTGAAGAGACAGAAAGAGAGGAAATATACGTATAAGACAAATTGTGAAATCGTGGGACTAAAACTGATCTGATCATGAGCAATAATTTGTGCTCGAAACCTTGTCATCCAGTTGTTAATAGTGCATCATCGCTGTGTGATATTTAAAATAAACTTATCTAATATGGAACTGATTAGAATACTTCTGTGATGATATAGTCAAGATTTTCGACTACCTTTCTATCATGTTACAAAACAAGAGTTTCTGTGTGCATTTATATATGTTTGAATATAAGAAGCCTAAAGATATTCCACCCAGCTGTCGTTTGTGTTCATCACTTGATTGATGAAAACAAGTACACAATGTAATTATTATTATTATTCCATTGGATTCCGACAGGAACACTGGGCTTCAACAGCAGTCCTCTTCAGCTTACATCTCCTCCTTATACGACCTCGTTCATGTAAACACTCAGACTGACACCCAACTCGTCATTTCCCATTTGGATTCTGCTCAAGGGTATGGCATGTGATGTCACCCGATGATCTTATCATCTTGTGTCCAATCCATCTCTATTTCCTTCGAAATATTTGTTGAGCGGAAGGTTCTACATTGGGTGACAGGGGAACCAGTTAACAAGAACTCCAGAGAACAGGATGAAATGAAGATGTGCTGTTGAAGCCTTTTGTTCCACTCGGAATCCAAGGGAATTATAATGAGTATAATAAAGCTTGATGATAATAGCCCATCACATATCGACTAAAGCTACACACAAACTGAGTGTCAAAATCAACTGTCATTGAGATGGTGAAAAATTCAGTTCATGGAATGACTAGTCTAGATTTCTTTTTAAAATACCTTTACTGATACTCCCGCCATGTATGAACAGGAAATAATTAAATCAAAACAAACCTACCACGTCGCTTCAAATATAACAAGCATAAAGCAACTTTTCTATTAGATTTCAAAATCACACTGAACAACGTCATTAACGCGAAGGTATAAAGTTATTCTAAATGAGTAACGCGTACACTGATCTTTTAAGTCGTAAATACAAATGATGAAGAAGTCAAGACCTTCTATAACTAACAATTACAAATACTTAGCATCCTTGTTAGACGGTTGGAGGTGACGGTTGACAGGATTCCTTGGACCTAGATTTCCTACTTTTTAGCCTCCATCAGTTCTGAAGGAACACATTTCCTTTGTGAGATTCAACTCTCGGACACCTAGTTGTGTAGTCAGAGACTTTAACACTGGGCTATTTGGTATGCTACTTAGCGGCTTATCTAATAAACAAATTATAAGACATAAAACTTTTTGAATTCTGCATAAGGAACTGAAATATCTCTATTAATAAATTGCTGAATGGCAAACCAAACGGGAGTAATTTTTTGATCCTGACTTGTAAGTCATAACAAGATATCTCCACAAATAGACGTATTTTCCAAGATAAAATGTGAAGCTGATCATCCGTTAGCCTCAAATAGGTGTCGTCATTTTAACAATAAAATAGTGCCTTATAGGTAAAGACATTTGATACACAACACGTTATAAACTCCTCTTCATGTAGAACTGTTTAGGTGGCTTAGAAATTATCATTAACCCCTACACAAGATTATGTGATACACTAACTGTTATTTAAACACTTGCCTATGTATTATAAACATTTAATAATGATTTAATTTAATTTTAGGTTTTCCCATCGATTGAATGAACTGAAAAATTTAGTCGTCTCAGGTTGACATGTCGGCTCTTTTCGCAGTTGCTCCAACGATGTATGGGCATGTAATCAGAAGTTAACTGGTGGATACAGACTAGCAGTGGAATCCAGGATGCATATTTCGTCCTATATGGAACTCGCCATCTGACTGATGGTATCGTTGAATATTTATAAAGTTCAGTCAACAAGAGATCAACGATTTTTACCAGCATAAGTCAATAAATACAAAGAAAAAGAACTCTAGTTTGAAGTTTCTTTAGTGATGGGACTGATTTCCCGACTGTAGGGTTACTAGTCCTACTCCCTCAACCTCCCCTCTTTTTTTCCAGGCCTTGAACCGGCTAGTACACTACATGATAGTGATCGTAAAGCCAGCTAAAGAGGACTGCAGAGAAGAGAGTGAAGGGAAGGTGTGTTGCTGAAACCCTATGCTCCACTTGGAACCCGAATGAATAATAATAATAGTTTATATAGTATGCTCAAAACTGAAATAGCCTTTCTGTCACGAATGTAAGTTAAAACTGATACTAAATTATCATATTTAGTCATTGACTTACATTCACAGTGTTCTAGAAATTGTATACAATCCATTAATACAGCATCTCTTATAAGAATCATATGCTTGGACATATTTTCAATTAAGGATAAGAAGCAGCGTTTAGCATAATACCTATAAAGAATAGAATAAAATAGAGACGAGCAAGAAAGGTAAGTATATAAAAGATTAAGAATTATGAATAATACATGAAAAATCTGAAGAAATTCAAATCTCGTGCTTGCGAACTAACGATGCTTTTCTAAGTGATATTGTGGTGAGAGCAGGCTGCTAGCCAATTGGTAGACATTAATTTACGTCAATGTCTATGTCGCCAATATTGGCCGTGAGAAGATGTGAACAAGACTGATTCAACAACCAATCACAGCAGACTTAACGTGGGCAAATACGATTCGCAAATATAAGGCTTAACTTTCTGAGAAACCAGTCACAAGCAGTACAGAATAACCTCAAGCAAGAAACAACCAATCAGAAGACGATGTTTGTCTGCTTGAATTAGCTACAATAATGTACATGAAATATATATAAATACGTGCTGATTTCCTTAATAAACGATCTGTTGCCTGGCCCTTGTCTTCTGTTGTTACAATATTAGTTCATAACGAAAAATCCTTCCTGAAATCGACGAGCTCTTCTCAAAATCTCATTTAAATCGTTATATATCCAGTGTATTGATATTTGAATCGCTAACAGTCAAGCTTAACAGATATCTTCATGGTTATCTACGTTAACGATCTGCCACTTTTATTGATTTTTTTACCTTTAATTGGTTGAAGAATATAAAAGACTGATCAACAAACAAAGAATGTTCTTTTCGACAAAACCATCATCACCCATAGAGTAAGGACACCAGGTGAACATAGCGAAGACGGAGTTGATGAAGATGACTAACTAACAGCAACAACAACTACAACAATCACCAATCACAATCGAAGGGAAGAAGTTACTTCCAGCCTTCCCTTATCTAGGAAGCACGGTCAGTCAGAACGGATGAGGATGTCAAAACCAGCCAGAATCGGAAAGATAAGATACGTCTTCATCAATATGAAAACAATTTGGAAATCTTCTGCACTCCATCTCAGCACAAAAAAACAAGATTTGGATTTTTAACACAAATGTCAAGTTAGTCAGTCAGCTCTTCTATACGGGTCAGAAACTTGGCCAGCGTGTCACGAAAAGCATTTCCAACAAGTTACAGACATTTGTCAATAGCTGCCCTCCTCGCTGGCTCCTTACTGAAGATCAAATAGTCGGTCAGAAAGAACTAGCAACAACAAACTCTGGCTGACAACAAACCAACAAGCAAAATTTGTAAGAGAAAATGAAGATGGATTGATTGCGCATACGTCACTGAGAACACCGTCCAATGACATTGCGTGCAACGCAGGCCATCGTTCGAATGGAATCCCAATGGAAAGTAATGAGTGGGTCGTCAGTGCGAGGGCGACATGGGAGAGATCGTGTGGCGAGGAGGAGATGAGAGATTATGGGCAATCATCGACCCTGCTGAAGAGGACAGCGGGAAATAGAAGAAAGTGAAGATGTGTTGTTGAAGCCCTGTGTTGCACTTGGAACCCAGAAGTAGGAGCTATATGCTCAGAAGATACAGTACTTAAGGTTATACATGACACGATGAATGAAACAGCTACCCTGAAAAATTCATCAACTAAACACGCCCAAGAGACACATAAGGAATGCTTCTATATCTGTTTGCAAAGCCTATATATATATATATATATATATATATATAAGATATACCAGGTGAAATAGTAATCAACCAGTTGAGAAGATGGATTCAAAGAATTTCTAATGCCCTTAAACTGCAGCCTGTATTCTCTACACAACTGGTTGTGATTCCAAAACTAAAAGGTGAAGTACCTAGGCTAACCACCTCTGAATGTATCTATCAATTTATCTGTTCCCCTAGGATCCTAATTCTCCGTTCTTGGGAATATCTATCATCAGTGTGGCTAATTAAATATGTTGTTTAAAACCATCAACAGGTCTATGCTATATCATCTCGTACAAACAGGCTACAAAGCTAGCTGCATTGAAGAATCTTTCTTCATCATCTATCGGGTATTTAATAAATTACCAAAGGCCTCTAGACATCGAAGACTCCAAACATCCGAGGCCATTGCAACTGGAACTCTGTGTGTCAAAAAAACATGTTCAGACACCACTGCTACCCTAGTCTGCTGACGAATCTATAAATTCATAAATCCTGTCTTACTTCTCTTAATTTATCTGATATTCAATCAGTTTAGTGTTGTTATATTAATGTACATCATCTTTCTCTCTTGCTGATGCTCTTGAAATGTAATCACCTGTCGATACTACCTGATTCAAAATAATTTCAAACAGTATTAATGTTTACAATTGGTGGATGGTGGCTAGCAGTGGAATCCAGGATGCGCATTTCGTCCTATTTGGGACTCGTCATCTGGATGTACCTGCATTTCTCAGTGAGTGATGATGTTCCCACCGAGGCCCGAACCCAGTACCCATAGTTTCAAACGCCAAAGCGTTATCCACTAGACCACTTGGGCCACCAGAGCCACCTCTTGTGCAACGGGTCATATTAATTATTGAGTTGAATTTTTGATTTTCCCGTCGATTGATTGAACCGAAGTCCTCGGTCTCAGGTTGACATGTCGGCTTCTTGTGCAGATGCTTCGACGATGTCTGGGTATTTAATTAGTATACAATTGGTGGATGGTGGCTAGCAGTTGATATTAACAATAATTCTTTAATTATTATGGATGCATATAAATGTAGAACCTGATGATGAATTTATGGAAAAGAGTATTCTTTGTTCATTAATCAATCTTTTAAATTTTCACCTTTAGACTACTAGTGCAAACTATATTGCCTTGAATCAAATTACTAGTGTACAAGGTTTTTTCCGTCTATCTATTTTAGTAGATTAATAATAAAGGACACTATTACTAAATTTTTCGAATAATGAGTGAGTCGACTGCATCGTATGTATATGGTCAAGCAATCCATTTTAGTCCGTGCTGTATCGTACAATATAGTCAACAGTATTAAGATTAGGCGTAGAGTTTTGGCTAAGGATGATAGAGCAATTAATTAGGTTGTGAAACCACATCGATCGAGATGACTAAGACATGGATTACACATGCCGAATCACCTCATTTCTCGTCGAACAATGTCAGCTGGCATAAGAGCCCGAGTGGTCAAATCAATATCCGGCACCAATCTAAAGTTTATTTTAATATAGCAAAAATATTCATTCAGATATCTATAAAACACAACATAATCGAGCAAAGAATATTCTTTTCAATAAATTCCTCTTCTGGCTCTACAATTATATACATGTTTATATACACAGAATATTCAAGGTTGGTAGTTAATAACAATATTAGTGTTTTTTAAATAATATCGATTTGTAAAGCAAGATCTTTATTACTATTATAATTTAAGTATTTTTAGTGAACTGTAATTGCATTGATCTTGCTTTACAAATCGATATTATTTAAAAAACACTAATATTGTTATTAACTACCAACCTTGAATATTCTGTGTATATAAACATGTATATAATTGTAGAGCCAGAAGAGGAATTTATTGAAAAGAATATTCTTTGCTCGATTATGTTGTGTTTTATAAAGTTTATTTGACTGTTGGTTTGATACGCTTAGGGAGGTGTAGACTGCCTGGCTGGATTCTTCGAGAACCTAGGAACCAACGATATATGATATGTCTTACAGTCGTTCACTCTTTGAAATTTTCAATATCTGTTAAACCTTAATGTTCCCAATGTTATTGTTATTTCACCCATACATATCTACTCTCTTTTTCATGTATTTTCTTTGCTTTCGGAAGGTACATATATTGTGGCAAGTTGAGCTGTAGGTCTTTTTTTGCAATTGTTCACCTTAAAATTCTATCAGCAGTCAATCATATTTGAAAAATGCGGAAATGAATCACTAGACAAACAAAAATTACTGTACAGCACGAAAGTACTTTGTTCGGATACTAACTTGACTGATAAAATTCAGTCTGCACCTAACCAAGAACTAGATGAATGACATAACTTACTACCTAATGTCCAATCATGTTGGGAGGTTTACTTGTGAAGCTTTTATTGAAGTTCCAGATAACATCATAAAGCATCCACTTGATCTTCTATATGAGTCACAGAAATTTAGACAGAGTCAAGCAGGGACGATTACTCACCAGGCTGTGTTCGTTGTTCAGTAGAAGGTGAAGTCTTTCAGTATTATACACACACACACACATTTTTGTGTCTTCAGTGTGACTGTAAGTATGGAGTAGTAGGTTTCTAGTTATCATGCAGGTTAATTCGAGTTTTAATGCGTGGCTTTAAAATTTCAAATTGATAAGCTAAATTATTTAGATAAAGCAATAAGAAGACATAATTTGTCTGGATCGTGTAATGTATTTGCGCAACACATTTCGGACAATCTGATCACACACGGACTTGTCATAACAGTTATCCAGACAATTTCATTAGGAGATATAAAGTAGCCAAAACACCAAGACCCACTCTCCAACTCGCCACTAAAAAAGACATGTACATCAAGCTACCCTATATGGGTATTATGTACTCGTCGCCAAATTATATTTGTTATGTACTGATCGAGAATTTAATAGTCCTGACGCAAGAAAGACGGAAATCAGAAGACCACTAGGTTTGCGATGATACTTCTATTTTCCAAACACAAGGAGAATCAAATATCTCACACAATAGTGTGAGAGCAAAATATATATGAATGTCCAAACAAGTGTGTGAACAAATCAATAGACAGTCTTAAAATGATTGGCTAACTATAATGGAGTATCGATCCATATATACATAGCAAAATATAACAGACTGTCAAACAAACACACATATTATATATACTATAGGGGGAATATACATTGTTAAAGGAGACAGGTTCATCAAAGTGAAATGGTCACAGACTAAGAGAGCAACAGAAAGAGAGACCACCATATATATATATATATATGGATACATATCAATGGGGTACCAAAGCAGCTTGATAACTAGACAAAGACTGAACGCTGCTGTTAAAAAGACTTTTTACGCAGATAATATCATAATAATTGAGAATGTAAAGCCAATATATCTATCTAAGGCCTTCGAACATGCGAGAAATGATGTCACATCCCACTGTATTTACCAGCTTGAATGTACGCATGGACACACATACGTAGGAAGGACTCATCGATCTCTGCAAGTAAGGGCTTCAGAGCATATTCCTAAATGGCTCCAGGAACAAATGGAATCTTCAGAACTCATTAATGGTGGGAACAGGAGACCTAGCTCTTCTACTGCGAAACATATTATAGAGACAGGACATAAAATTGACCCAAACAGATTTTTTAAACCTATCTATAAAACGTGTTTGGGGCGTATCCTAAAGTTTGTGGAGGCCCTAGCTGGCAATTAGGAAGTTTTAACCACCTTTATGCGTTCAAAAACAATTCGTTATCACACTAAACCTTCCTTGGTAAATTTTGTTTTGATACCGTAGCAGATGTACTATGACCTCTGCTATTTGCTTTAGTGGTCTTCTTTTTGTTATTTTGACCTTGAATATGTCCTTTTAACTTGACCTAAGTCTATTTTCTCACCTCTTATCTCTTTATTAATTTCATATCTATTACTATGACAAGTCTGTATGTGATCAGATTGTTCGAAATGTGTTGTGGGCGCGAATATATTTCACGATTCAGACAGATTACATCTTCTTATTGTGTTACCTAGCGTCGGTGGCACGGCGGTTAGGATGCTCGCCGACCATACACGTGATCCGGGGTTCGATCACCGGCCGACGCACTCCTTTACCTTGCCAAGCCAGTAGTGAGACTAGTGAAGAGGAAAGGTTGGGCATGGTGCTAGCAACCTCATCCTGTAAATATTAACACTGCTACAGAAACTTCAAGCCTCTAGCTTGGAGCCCTATGTTCCATTGGGAACGTGAAGGAAAGTATTAATTTTATTGCTTTATCTTAATTCATAAAGGGAACTAATTGTTTTAAAGCTAAATTATCCCAAATTTTGATAACCTAAATTAAGGCTCTGTTAAGTAAGGTAGTCACCATCAACTAAAGAAATTTCACATTAATCCTCAGGCATCGTCCAAGCATCTGTATTAGAAGGTGACACGTCTCCTAGCATTCGGGTGATGTGGAAGAAAATCCTTATTTTTCTGTTTTAAACTTTATACTACTAATTAGTAGTAAGCGTTTCTATATTTCGGAGTTCTTCATTTAAATAATGGTTCATTTAGGTTTACGTTTGTTGACATACTTTCTTAGAAGCACTTTTGGTGAGGGATAAGTCTAGACAAACGACTGAGCATTCAATACTGTTATTCACTGATATACTAATTTATTTTGGACAAATCCTGTATTCTGGGTCTTACGCGCCGCGTAAGCTTTCCCCTTCTCTGTTCACAAAGGTAGTGGTTCATCTCTAGTTTGACCACGAGCTTACATTGGTTAGAAGACCGTTGGAAACTAGGGAGTACTGGATATTTATATCATCCTAGTATGGGACTCTTCAGCGATACACATCCATCAGGCTCAGGACCCAGGACTTTCCACTTACAATGGGATCCGACCCAGTGGCTCATGAATTCCAACTTCAACCAGTTAGTGATTCGTTTTTCTTCGGCATCTTTTTAAAAGGAATCTACATTTGGTTTCCACCTATAAATTTTACTGTAGCTTATATTTCAAATTCTTTTGTTATCATAACAATAAAAGACGAAATGTACTGAACTAAGAACTTACCATGTATCTGGTCCAAGCTTCTTCTGATATGGTTCTAAACTTTTAATAACCCGACTAATGCCGAAATCATAGTTGCCTTTAGCACAATACAACGTGCCAATGACTAAATTCACAATACACAAATGAAATACTTTTCTATCCGGATCTTCATAACTGATCGCTTCTTCTTCTTTTTCAATTTTACGCATCAATTCTTCAGCATCTTCATTTTGACTAGTCATAATGTATGTAACGCATAGATTAGCGAGTATAACAGCGCTAATATTTAACAGATTATCAAATTGTCGTTTAACAATTGGTTCATAGAATCCACTAGCTTCTTTGTATTTATTTTCTTGCATAAATAGTACATGGGCGACATTCAACTTCCATACACGGTGATCATTACAAAATTCAACAGATTTACGGAATATTTTCTCAACCTAAGGGGTTGAAAAAGAAAGAAATGCTATAGATAAGAATAAAATGTAAGTATTTGAAATGTACGAGTGTTGGTTTGCATGGCTTTGATTGATTTTCAGGTTTGACCATGAACTGTCTTCAGTCAGAGGACCATTGAAAAACAACGAGAACTTGAGTTCTGTTGAAAAGTCGTGACAGGAGAGTAAACCAATTCGGGTGTGAGGACAGATACTCACCAATGACATTGGCCTGTAATTGCACTATCTATATCGCAAATTGGCAGGGGTTGAAACCAATGGGTCACCGAATTCTGTCCTAGTGAGTGACAGATCAACGAGCTCAACTTATAAGCTGAAGGTACTAGGTTCGGTCGGTCTTGTATAGGGTTGCGGATGAGTACTACTGAAGAGTTCAAACCTTGTATTTCCTGGTTTTAAATAGTTCTCCAGCTGAAGTCACCTCATGAGTAAACTTCAAATATTACTATAAACTACCCCTAAATAATAATTTACTTTTAAGTATTGGTTTATAGGGATCTGAGTGATTGGTTACAGGATTTCATCATAAGCTGACATTGGTTAGAGAACCATTTAAAAACCTGGGAGTACTGGACAGCCAGCTGTCTCGTCCTAGTTTGGGAATCTTCATCAGTGAGCACCCATCGCTAGGGTTCGAACGCAGGACCTGGTTACAAGGCTAGCGAGCTCGTCGACCATTCAGCCACTGGGACCCAATCCAATGGCCCATGAATTCTAACTTCTGCCAATTCATGGCATAGCGTGAACGCTAGCCAACGTCTTCGGCGAGTATTTGTCCTCACACCCGACCTGCTGCATCCTACTGGTCACGAATTCCCACTAGAACCCAGTAGCTTAATGGTCTATGGGCCCGCTAGCCTTGTAACCAGGTCCTGCGTTCGAACCCTAGCGATGGGTGCGCACTGATGAAGAGTCCCAAACTGGGGTGAGATAGCTGGCTGTCCAGTACCACCAGGTTTTTAAATGGTTCTCTAACCAATGTCAGCTCATGATGAAATCCTGTAACCAAATTACTTTTAATTAGGATGAAAACGTTTTAGATTCAAATAATGAACTTCTTGTCGTTTTATGTCATTCTGGACAGAATTTGTCAGTGCGTTTAGTAAAAAATTTATGATCAACAATGAAGCATTAAAGTTTAAAGCAATTAGTTCCCTTTATGAGTTTCAACAAGACAATAAGAAGACTCAATTTATCTGAAACGTGCAAAGTATTTGCACAACACCTTTCGGATATTTTGATCACACACTTACTAGTCATATGTATATTTTTAAAAAGGATCTAGAAAACATGAAGGATCACAAATGTTATTATTATTGGTCAAAATGTTTATTGGTTACAGCCACAGATAAAAGGTTGGAAAATGAGGTAAACGAGGGGTGAAATACCATTAAGTAAAATGAACCTCAATTTTCTGAGTGGTAGTTAGCAGTAGAATCCATGATGCACATTTCGTCGTATTTGGGACTCGTCACTGGATGTACCTGCATTCCCAGGGAATGATGGTGTTCTCAGTCAGACTGGGACCCAGTACCCATTGTTTCAAATACCAAAGTGTTGTCCACTAGACCACTTAATCCACAAAAGCCACCTCTTGTGCAACGAGTGTCAATTATTACTTATTTTCGATTCATTTTCGATTTTCCCGGCGATCGATTGAAGCGAGATGTTCGGCTTCTGTTGACATGTTGTTTTTAGGTTAATTTGCATTTCCTTTTGATTCTACTGGACTGAAGTGATCGGTTCTAAAAGCAAACAATGACTGATACTCATTGCACCAGAGGTGGCTCTCGCAGTTTAGATGGTTCAGTGGATAATGCCTTGGTATTTGAAACGATGGATACTGTGTTTAAGTCTCAATGAAAACACAATCACTCCCTGAGAATACACGTACATCCGGTCGACATATTAAGAATAGGACGAAATGCACACCATGGATTCTACTGCCAGTCATCATCCACCAAACTACTTCAGGAATAAAGACGTTCTTAAGCTCTTTATTATGTATAGAAATAATTAAGAAATATTCCAGAATTACGAATGAATGTTCAATTTATTCTAACCTTACTTTTCTAAAGTATACAAGTATATATTAGCAAGAAATGCATAAACATTTCGTCCTAGTTTGGGAGTCCTCAGTAGTTCGCAACCATGACCCCTACAACGATCAAACGCAGGACTTTCAGGTTACGAGACCAAGCTCGTTGACTCTTCAGACACTCAGGCTAGAATTCAATGGCGCGTAAGCTCTTACTTTCTGAATTTTCGATACAGAGCTATCCTCAACCAATGCCTTCAATGAGAATTCACTTCATCTTGATATGGTTTCAGGATATATATATATATATATATATATATATATATATATATATATATATATATAGGTACCAATTATAAGCATGAAGTCATTAACTGACCTGTTGATAATTGTCCATATCCCAATAAATTTTAGCTTGTTGCATTAACACAGGAATATAATTTTCTAAGGCGATATCATATTCGTGTACAGCACGTTTCACTGCCTCATCATCTTGTGCTTGTCTGGCTTCTTGAACTGTCTTTGTCAATCGTCTCAACTGTTCTGTATGCTTAGCAGCCATTTGATCAAGACGACTGAACGAAAAAAAAATAGTGATTGCAATAGAGTAGAAAACAAAAATATTACAGGAAGAATAAAAATAATTGTGTACAATATATACTTCCGTATTCTGATGATGGTGAGCAAAGCTTCTGTGGAAATTCCTTGCAGAGCTAAAATTTTCGCACAGCAATAATTTCGTGCCAAGCCCACTACGGCAAAGAACATAAATTATGACTAAAACTGCTAAGAGAAAAAGAAACGAAAAAGGATTTGAAACATGTGGAGGAGTGGAGAGCACTTTATCCGAGGATAGTCAAAGTAGGATCAACTTTGGCACGTGTTCTCTCTGATTACAAATTTCTGACTTGGTCAGCGTTATTTCCACAGTTTCACTTGTATGAAGAAAAGACTATATACCTAAGGTGTTGTCAGGTGCAGTCCGTCTTCTATGGAAATACGGTCGACCAACCCACTTCTTTGTATTCATAAAAAGAACGTGTTTAGATGTTGTACCTACGTTAGGTATCCTTAGACTAAATACTATCCCTGCCACACTTCACATAATTCTCTAATTTCGCCTAGAGTGAGCACTTCTGTCCAGTCAATCGATGGGAAAATCTAAAATTGAACTAAATAACCTTGAGGAACTCAACAGCCAATCAAAGAAGACTTAGCGTGGGCGGATACGATTTTCAGGTTTATCACTGGACTGTCTAAGAAACGGCAACAAAGAGATGACAGAATAACCTTCAGCAAGAAAACAACCAATTAGAAGACGTTACTTCTCTGTCAACAATAACGCTAATAATAATGTACATAAAAATCTAGAAATACCTCTTGATTTTCTCAATAAAAGATCTGTTGCCCGGTCCTTGTCTTCTGTCGTTACAATACCATTTCCCTCCATAAAACTACGCTTCATTCACCCAACAAATTGATCACTTCATGGTAAACTATTCATTTTAGTCCCATTGTCTACCGTTTCGCATATATCATCTTTGAACTAGCCATTCATCAAACACATTTTACAATCTTATAAGAAGGTATCAGTTTTCTTTCCCGATACTATGGGAATCTATTGTAAAGATCATCAACATTATCATGCATTTCACACTATTTTGTAATTGCGTTCAACTCACCACCTTTGTAGGACAGATACTCTTTTGTTCTGTTACCTTACCACTTGAAACTCATCTGGGTTTTTTTTAAATTCATGATCATATTCTATGTTAAATGTATCCTCTGCATACCTGTTTGTTAATATACTGATAACAACTATTGTTTTGTAAGTATAAGAACCTGAAGCGGATTTATTGAAATATATATATATATGTCTTTCGCGTTATGACCGACTTCTAATTTGTGATATGGAAATATATGATATTTTGCTGGAATGTGATTAGTAGTAGAATCCAGGATGTGTATTTCGTCCTATTTGACGCTCATCAGCCCGATGTATCTGCCTCCTCAGTAAGTGATAGTGTTCCCATATTTATGGACACCAAAGTTTTCAGTCTAATATAATCAGTCAACTGGAATTAAGCAAAATGGTAATAATCACCCGCTGCAGTCCAAACGCAGGACTTTCCAGTTACAAGGCAACCTTGCAGATCATTTAGCCACCTGAACCTGAACCTGAATCCCTAGCCCATAAATTCGAATTCCTACTGATTTGTGATTTTAAATTGACCAACAGGTAGTGCTATCCGCGAGTATTTGTCCTAGTTCCCTACTGGAGAGGCCCCACTCGTCTCAACTTCTTACTAGAACTCCAGGCAGTTTCGCCCTGTAGCCAGTCATTGGCGAGCGTCAGATGAATTTTCAAGAGTTAGTTTGTACACAGTTGACTAGCTTCGAGTTTGCCCACGGATTGACATCAGTTAGAGAACCACTGAGAACTAAAAGGTAGTACTGGATATTTGTTTCTTCCTAGTTTGAGGCTCATCAGTAGTACGCACCCACCAGTACTCCCCCGTTTTCCAATGTCCTCTAACTGATATTAATTTGCGGTCAAACCTGAAGCAAATCAAATTCCTGCAAAACAACTCTTGAAAATAATTCGACTTATTTGTTCGCCAACGTCAACAATAGGAGTCAGAGTTATGAGGATAGGCTGGCTACTGGGAATTGTGTGTTCTGCCAACTTTATGTTTATTTTTAGGAGTAAACTTCTTAACAGCACATAGATGTATAAAAGTAGGACTTCAGTCCTCCGGTGTACTAAATTGGCTTGTCTCCTATGGAACATAATGATATGACATTGAATAATGTGCGTCGGCGGCACAGTGGTTAGGACTCTCACCGGCCATGCACATTGCCCTAGGTTCGATCCCCGGCCGACGCACACCTGATATCAATGGTAGGCCTGCTAAATTTGGGCTACTGATATCATATTTAGACCCATTGCTATTACCTCTCCTTTTTTGAAATTTATGGAGAAATTACTTTTGCTTAATCTTGTACCTTCACTTAAATCCTTTAGTGACCCCAAACAATTTGCCTATAAGCACAGTAGAAGCACTTTAGATGCAGCTGCCGTCTTATATCATAAAATTGCTTCCAGTCTAGACAAGGAGACTAAATTTGTTCGTTGTGCCTTCCTAGACTATGCATCTGCTTTTGACTCGGTCCCTAGGGACATCTTATTAAATAAACTTGCTGCAAGTCAAACACAATGTTGGGCTGTTAACTGGTTACATTCCTGTTTCTCAGAAAGAAAGCAGTACACCGTGTTTAAAGGGAAGTCTTCCACTTCATTACCTACTGAAGCTGGTGTCCCTCAAGGCGCTGTCCTTTCTCCTTTTCTTTTTTCTTTCTTCTTGCATGACTTGCCTTACTCTGATGAAATAAACTTTGTGAAGTACGCTGATGACTTAACAGTTTCAATGGCTGTTAACTCCCAGCTAGATTGTACTAAAATAAATAGGTTTCTATCGGGAGTCAGTAAATGGTCTGAGTCTAACGGTCTTAAACTGAATCCTTCTAAATTTCAATCTGTTAATTCCAGCTTAAGATGTAAAAGACAGTTAAAAGAAGCCGTCGATTCTCATGACAGTTGTAAGATTGACGACAATGATATAGGAATCAAATCACAAATTAGGTATCTTGGACTGATCCTCTCTTCTGATTTCTCCTGGACTTCCCATGTCTTAGCAATCTCCAGTAAAATATTCCTCCTGGCATTTTACATTAAGAAGTTAAGACACTCGCGTATAACTCAACCCATCCTCTTACAGTTCATAAACTCTTGCATCCTACCTATTCTTCTTTATTATTCACCCTTGCTTATTGTTTCCTGGTTTGCTTAAAAAGGACTATGTCACAATTCGTAGAATACTGAAGACTGTCAGTAGGGTGAGTGGTGTCCCAGTGGACCACATAGTTAACGTCGTTGTCGATAGGCACTTGATTTCGTGCAATAAATTTGCTAAAGGGATTTTGTCTGACTTGGAGCATCCACTTCACCCTCAGCTTTCGCCTTGCATCTCCTCAGGTAGAACAAGAAGTCACTTCAGAAAACTGTATGCTCGCACGTCTAAGTATAAAAACTCTATGATACCATACTTGGAACGTATTTTATGTGATGAAAATAGTGTCAGGCAAGAATTAACTAACCTTTTTTCATCTAGTAAATAAACAATTTCCTCCATCCATTCTTATATACCTTCAAGGTTTGCTTTTATTATTTCTATTATATTTATGGTACTGTTGCTTCTTTGTTTTACTCTCACAATTGCAAGCACCAACTTATCTCCATGACTGCTGTAATCTTCGTTTTTCCCCTCACCATATCATTTAAAGAGAACATTATATTCAATATTTTTAAACATGTTAGGATTTCTATACCGAATCGACAATACTGTGTGAAACAAACCCGCGGCAATTTTCACTTGTATTATTATTACCTTAGCGGTTATCATTATTATTATTATCATTATTACTATTTCCATTTTATATGCTGCATGTTTCTGACATTCCCCCTATTGTAAATGTGGAAGATTTTCTGTGTGATTAATTTTATTTATAATTTGAGGACATTAGATGCAATATTGGGATTAATGCTGAAAATTCCATTCTGTATCACAAGTACTATTTTTGGAATAAAGTAAATCATTATTACTATTATTATTATATGCTGAAAATTCCATACTTTTACCAAAAGTAAGGTGTGGAATCAAGCTAAAATAAAAATTAGAAATATTAGATGAAGCAGATCAGAAGAATTCTCAGCCTTTCGAAGATTTGGGAAATAATTAGTTTACGTGGAAATTTCTATCGAAAGAGTTAAGGCTTTTAATGCGCCAGTATCAAATTAATTTAATTGAGTGATCGTGATAATCAGATGAGCGATAAAACTTAAGGTATATTTCAAACCACATCCGTTTGCGTTTACGCAGTTGAAATTGTTAGCTTACAAAACAGTCTCTGAGTAACACTTATTTACAAACTTGAAAAAAGATTTTCAGTGTATTAATGGGATGTTGGACAGAAAAATCATTTTTTTTATTTCCTTCACGTTCCCAGTGGAACATAGGGCTTCAAGCTGGAGGCTTGAAGTTTCTGTAGCAGTGTTTATTTTTACAGGATTGGGTTGCTAGCCCAATGTCCAACCTTCCCACCTTACCAGTTTTATTACTGGATAAATGAGGTAAAGGAGTGAGTCGGCCGGGGATCGAACCCTGGCCCATGTGCATGGTCGGCGAGCGTGGTAACCGCTGTGACACCGACGCACCGACGAACAATCATTGGAGCAATTTAATTGAACTACAGCTGCTTACCATTAAGTCACCATAACAGTGAAATGTAAACAATCATCCTCCTACTGTAAATGGGATTACAAACTCTCTGTCTTATATAAAATGAGGCAAAGTAGCACAACTTGACAGTTTAAATCCAGAAGTGTATGAGAATGACCGTGGTGAACTAATGACCTGATTAAGACAGTAGCTAGTATACAGAATCCCAAGATATCCCCAACGGAATTGTGTACACCGTTAATCATTCCAGTTTGACAGAAAAGAAACAAAGAAGCGGTAGTCAGTACTAGTCATATTTCTTAACTTGAAAGCGGTTTTGACCCCGTCAATCTAGTGCTCCTGTAGTAATGTCTGGCTGTGAATATGCAGCTTATATAATGCTTCTAGATGAAGAAATGTTGACAAAATACATTGTCTCCCACACACCCTAAGGGGGATACTCTGAATTTTTGACATGCAATTCGCTTCCATCAAATGTAACCTGACACCACAAAGCTGATCTACACCCCCTCATAGTTTAAGGATATTGAGTGAATTAGCTAAATTTGTTGACAGCTTCACTTATTTGGGAATTTATTTCAGCCCTAAGGAACACGTCCATAACAAACCTCAGAACAGATGCGAAAGACTCATCTGACATTTGCAAACCTGAATTCATTTCAATGAAGTGCTAAGTGAAGTTGAAATATTTTGATGTGGTTGTGTTCTCTGAGCTGGATAGTTAATTCGCGAAGCTTTCATCGCCCTACTAGGCGGCATCTTCAGGGCATACTTCAATTTGAAGTGAGCTTTTAGATTTCCCCACGAGTTTATTAATCATTTCTCCTGGTCATTTTGAACGCTGCGATTGGTTGTGTTTTCACACCTTCTAGGTTACTTGTATTGGAACTGATTGTTTCTTTGCCTTAAACTTTGACTCTTTGTGTGTGAGGTTTCTTTCTTATCGGTTGATAAATTTTATCTGTCTCGGTGTATCTATTGACTGATGATTCACTGGAATACCAGGCAGGCTTCTAAAACTTCTCTAGCATTCTTGTTGTTTCCTCTGTCTAATACTTGAACATTGTCCCAGTCGAAATGATGTCCGTGGTTGCCTGTATTTAGTGATATGAGGGAGTGGATATCGTGTCTTTTGAAGATGAAATATAACGTCAGTCTGATATCTACCTCAAGGTCACTTATTCAGACCAGATTTTCATCCAAATTGTAACCATTACATCACCGTATGAAAGAAATGTTCATGAATCTAGGTATATATCAGACCAACCTAATGTCTATAATCACTGAGCCTCCACGATTGACGCTCATGGACAACAAATTATATTAGAAGCACCGTGAAGTAAAAACCACTTTACTGCCATAAAGAATGAATAGGCATCATCAGATGCAGTGACCACCGGCTTTGCACATACTCAAGTGGTGTATATATATTACAAAATAAATTCACACATCAAACAGTATGAACAGTGCTCATCACATATTAAAATCTTACTTATAGGCATCTTGAGGTGCTGTTTGTCGAAGAATTACAGCTTCAATAAAATCAAATAAATCCGGTGACAGATATTCATAGGCTAATGATGCATTCTCAGCCATTACATCAGCAGCTAAATCAAAATATTCATATTTTATGTACAACAGTAAAAGATTTGCAAATGTCTCAAATGGAAAAGTTTCTTGTTGCAGTAAAAATTGTAATTTTTGAAAACCTGTTGCCGGTTCTGTTTCCATATTCATTAAGGCTTGATTATGAAGTGTAATATGATCGAGTTCTTCTTCAGATCTTGGCGGCATATCAGTTAATGCTTCGGATGCAGCTACATAATTTTTTAAATTGAATTCAATAGCTGCCTAAAATTTAAATTAGCGAGAGAAAAAAATGAGATGAATCAAGGTTACTTGTGTAACGAACAGAAAACTAGTACCGATATGTGAGATGACAGTGTGTAATACAATTTTGATGTCTGACAAAGTAGGTGAAGTTGAACAGACACAATAAAGGACATAAGTGCGAAAATCTAATGAAATCAGCACAAAAAAACAAGATTCAAAATCTCAGCACTAATGTCATTTCAGAGCTTCTGTGTGATTCAGAGACTTAGTGCGTCACAAAGAGAATTTCTAACAGACTTTCATAAACACTTGTCGCTTTCGCCTGCTCCATACTGGAGATCAGATGACCGGGAAAGGTTTTCAGCCAACCAACCAAGAGTCTATGGCATAATAAGTATCCGGAAGACAGTGGAAATAGGTTCGACATACGTTGAGGAGACCGTTGAGCGATATCGCGCGCCAGACAGATCCCTAGTGGAATTTGAAAGGGGAAACGACTAGTTGAGCTTAGTCGGAGGGTGACATGAAGAAGATTGTATGAAGAGGAGATGAGAAACTATGGGCAATTATAAAACCAGCTAAACAGGATTTCACAGATGAGAGTGAAATGGAGATATGCTGCTGAAGCCGCATGTTCTCGCCGGAACTGAAAGAAATAACAGTGATAATATAAATCTCTCTAATAAATTGTTTTATTTCACTATATCACACAAGACCAAAGTGTAGAAATAAGAACTACTAGGAAGTGGAACTAATCCTAATCCACAGACATTAAAACTATGCATAGTAGCACAAAAACCTTATGAAAAATAGCATTTATTTAAGTTATCAAACTACCTAAAGGCATATCCGTCAAATATCAACAAAAGAAGGCAGGATCATAAAGCATGAAAGAACCGTTAAAGGTTAGGCAGCAGTAGATAATAATCTTCTTATTACTGTGAAACTCTTCAGAAGAGTGTTTCTTTGACTTCAAGTAGAGCTGGTAAAAAGACCGTCTGTTCACTATACCAGTCAACAGCTGATTGGGGACCCAGTAGCCTACGATCACAATTTTTGTCAATCAACGATATACAGCGTCCGTCAACTAATTTAGACACGTGAAGAGACAACCAGTGATGAACCTGGACAAAGATGGAGCCATATCATAAATCATTCACACGTGATTTTTTCACTAGCTTCTCTGATGAGAAAGAATGAAAAAGAATGTTTAAAAGCCAATGAATAAGATATCTATTTTTCATGGGTTAAGCAGGATGACCTCTGAAACTTCATCTAGTTTTGTCAGGCGATTGTAATGAGAACAAATAGCTTTTAAAGATTGTAAATTAATTTACAGATAGTCTGAAATAAATTTGAAGACATTATCAACTCCAAATACGCATCACATAATTAGGAGTATATTTTTCATACCTCACAGGTTTAGCAAAAACAATTGACGCACTCAAAAAGTCCAGAAATACACTTTTCAAACCTCCACGCTACCGTCTTTTCTGTCCACCATTACTCACAATGGTGTAGTATGAGATTAATTTCTATAACAGTGTGGTGAGAGCTGACTGCGAACAAGCCAAAACTGTACGCAACAATTTGCGTCAGTGTTACATCCGGAATCAGGAGCATGAGAAAAACGATGACAAAGCTCAATCTTGAGGAACTCACCAACCAATCATGGCGAACTTAACGTGTGCAAATAGGATATACAGATATATGGCTTAACTTTCTGAGAAACAGCCACAAGCAGTACAGAATAACCGTGAGCAAGTAGACAACCAATTAGAAGACGTTGCTTCTCCGCTGATAATAATATACATAAAAATCTAGAAATACTTCTTGATTTTCTCAATAAACAATCTGTTGCCTAGCTCTTGTATTATATCGTTACAACCGAAGTCGAACGATGATACTGCTTAGTGTCAGCAGAACTAGTCTTGTGGAAAATGAAGAATCTTGTAATAAAGTTAAATTCCTTATTTATTTTACTCCTTTGCGTTCTAAGTGGAACGTAGGGCTTCAAGATTGAACTATGAAGTTTAAGTAGTAGTGGTGTCATTTTTGTGATCTGGGATTGCAAGTCTCACGCCCAGCCTTTCCTCTTTACCGGCCTTGATACTGACTTAGGGAGGTTTAAGAATGCGTCAGCAAGGGATCGAACCTCAAATGACTAAAGGTATTTGAAACGTATTCATTGGACAACTAAATTGTGTTATTTATCAGTTATGAAATCAGCATAACTTGTTAATCAAGTCTGTCAACTATGCATTAGTATCTAAGTGAGACAAACAGATGCAGTCAGTAAATATACATATTCAAATATTGCATAAAAACGGACAATCACCATCTAAATTTACCTTTAAGTTAAATGTTTCAATTAAAGCTGTTTCGTGTAAAGCTAGAGTATTCCCAACACTACGTACTTCCAAGCCTTCTGTAGTCATACCGACACCAAGTTCTGGATGATCTCTAATTCCACGTTCAATAACATCAGCAATATATTTCAAAGACTGAGCATACTGTTTCATCTGATAATGACACAGTGCCATGTTATAAGCAAGTGTTGGTTGGAAACCAACAGTCTTTTAAAAAAGAAAACAAGAAATACATGTGGGTAAGAAATAGCTATTTATTTAAAATCCGAGTGTAAGTTTCAAAAATATGCGCCCAGCGATTAAATATCAAATGGAATTTGTATTCAAATAAATACCAAACTTAGCATTTCTTTATTTCCATGCCAACTATATTTTAGTCATTGTAAACCTCCACCCATGTCAATGATGTGAGAAATAACATCAAAATGTAATATTTACATGACGCCTATTACTAACTGACTGTTAGAAGAAGCTGCAAGGATAGGACGTCAAGTAAGCATAAAAATGATGGAGATGATGAAGATAATCAGCCATCAACAACACCAACAAGCACCAATCATTACCAACGTGTGTAATCTGAAAGAGACTACTTCCTTTACTTGCCTAGTTATGCAGCATCGTTTCAGCTACAGGCGGAACGGATGAAGATGTCAAAACCAAAACCGGAAAGGCAAGACAGACCCTAATCGCTTTGAAATCGGTTTGGAAATCTCCTGCACTCAAATTAGCATAAAGAACAAATTTCAAGTTTTCACTGTTAAGTCAGTCACTTCTTCTATATGGGTCAGAAACCTGAAGCATTCCTAAGAGGCTACTGCAGACTTTTACCAACATTTACCTTCTCTGATTCCATAACGAATATCAAATGACCAGCTAGAAAGGATTAGCAACAAGAGACTCTGGGGACGAACCAACCAAGAACCTACTGTTCAATAAATATCCCCAAGGAAATAGAAATGGATCGGATACAGGCTTATGAGACCAATGAGTGAAGTCGCGTGCCAGTTGGCCCCTTCAGTAGAAGCCGAATAGCAAACGAAGAGTTGGGCATGGCTCTGAGGATGAGATGAAGGGGCGAGAGGAAATAAAATCTTGTGGGCAGTCGGGATGCCTGCTAAAGTGGACTTCAAAGAACAGGACAAATAGGAGGTTTGCTGTTGAGGCCCTATGTTCTACTTGGAACTAAAGAGAATAATGTGTCTGGAGTACTCGAGAGGTCTTCCGAACCAAGGGTGAGTGCAAATACTCACCAATGATATTCACTGGCGGTGGTGCTATAAATCACAACTATCCAGTGCTTGCTGGTTGTCAGTGGTTCTCCAGTGATCTAAATTGAAGTCAGTTAAAGCCCTCCGAAACCAGCACCTGTAAATATCCTCAGATTATTTACTGAGCAATAATATATTCCGAGCAAAAGCACTGAGTCTGAATTATGAGTGATTTATGATTTCTCTAAAACAAACTCATTAATGAGAAATATTAATGGTTGTGAAACCTGATCACCTAACAGACTAACTTTTTCAGGAGATATATTAATGCTTTATTTTGAAGTTGTCTCACTTCTGAACAGTACAAAACTGAGTGAAGGTTTTTTTAAAGTGTTGTGAAAAGTGTCAAATAAGTACTGACAAAATTTACATTTTCAACTGTGGCAATGAGTTAAAACAATCGTGCTACTGTTATGGATTTCGACTCGTACCTAGAAGAATCATAAATAACCGGTTTTTAAAGTCCAGTAGTCAATCCGTCCTCAAATTCGCCATCCTAAAGTGGAAGAGTTTGTGAATTAGTTCATGTCCTTTACATAACCCAGTCTTAATTTAAACAAGAGTAATTGCTGAGGAAACTAGTGAGATGGACATGAATAACATATCTCTACCATCTGGAGAATGGAGAATCAAACTCATCGACTAACGAGAATCTTCGTAATTACTATTCGTATAGTAAAAAGATCATCACAACTGCATACACCCTAATTTTTCATAAATTTTCTTTAAAGACTATGTGTAGAATGACAACAACTAGTCAACAATCAAATACTGGGGGGATAAGCGACAACAACAAATTGTCAGAGATCAGTGTAGGCCTGAAAAAATGTTCAAAATTAACTTACTTGCATTGCTTGTTGAAACTGTTGGCATGCCTTTTGATAATCACCTTCGCGGTAGAATAAGCAGCCAAGATTGATAATTGAATCAGGGTCGCCAGAAAAGGTTTGTTCAACTAAACTGCGCGAGCCAGCTAAATCTCCTTCACCATAGCGTATGGCAGCTTGTAATTTGATCAATTTTTCCTTGAAATCTGGATTTTCAATTTGAGCTGCAGCCTGTCAGTAGTTCAAAAAATGGGGGAGAAAATATTCATTAGATAATTACGCGATGAAAGTGATTTGAATGCTGTTGAGTGAGACGTAGATGACCATAGTGTGACCATGGCACTTTCAGCGTAAAGGTTATTTTCACACATCAGACTAACCCGTAGGGGATGCAATCAGTTAAAATTTAATGTGATAGCTTCCGTTTAAGAAGGTTAGCTTTGGTGTTCTTTATTTTAAAAATCAGCGAAACGTGGTAATCCTATTACAAACTAAGACACTGGACAGGAGGTCACATAAAAATGGCATGAAGAAAAAAGAAAGTTTGTGTGAATGCTCACGTAATTGCACATGCAGGTAAGAAGATCTCATAGCTTTAAATGCAGTAAGTTTGTTATCACATCTATAATACTATTAATAATGTCTTCCCTGAAGAAAATCAGTACACTGTAAATGATGGAAAAGTTACCCAGATAAAACAGTTTATTATGAAGCTAAACGATATATGAGATAATATAAGAATTTATAAAGCGGGAGAAAATAATGAGATACTTGAGTGAATAAGAAGAAAACCAGCCAAATGAGCTTCTCTAAAGAATACTTAAGATAAGTAAAACGAGTGATATATTAAGTTAGTGCTTATTGTGTTTATATCTCGTGTATACCAGTGGATATTTAGTACTCAATCAATCAGCATTATTATAGCATCTGCTTGTTTCCAAATGAAAACTAAGCATTTTAGCACTTGTCTGCCCCTGTCAATGAGATCATGACCGCAGTAATTACCAGATTAAATCTACGCCTAGACCCGCACTCCTCGAGCACCAAGAATTGACAGTCATTGTTAGATATCATCTTACATACTCAATATCCCATTGCGGTATGATTTAAAACAATGACTTCCCCCTGAGGTGGGTCTACAGATTGAGGACTAAAATTATTTATAGACCTTATGAACACTTTTTAGAGGAATGATTTTAAGTGTTATTCAGTGCAACAATGCTGAGCAAAAGGTGGATTCATACCAGGATAACGTATTTTAAATAATGATTTACTGTCCAAGTTGTCTTAACTGATGCTTCCTTCTAAAAACTGACATTCTAGAGAAAACTCCAAGAGGGCTCTTCAGTCACAGTAGTGTGGAAGACATCCGAAAATTCATCCATAGAATTTAGAGCCGTTGACATCCCCTTCAGATTACATAATGAAAGCATTATCTATGGATAACTTGATCAAGTGTCCACATCCCTAAATAGTAGGAATTATGTAAGTTGGTTGGAGAGCTACTTATAAACAAAAGGGTTCAGAGCATGAGACATGACTCAAAGACATAAACTAAGCATTGATTTAAATGTCATATTTTGTTAATAGCAACACTGCTTATTATTCGCCATGAAGTTTAACTATAGCAGCCACTGCAGGACATGACGTCTGACAACTAGTAAGTTACAGGTAGTATCAACAAATCAAAGCATTTCTTCTGTTCTGAATTTGCTTGACGAGTTTCAAAATAGTAGAGCGTTTGATTCGGAATCAGGTTATAAGAACAGAATGCTCTTGTTGCCTATGTTAATCCTTGCGATATATATCTCTGCAGAGATCTAGTTTCTCTTTGAAAGCGCCCAGTACTATGTGAGTCATAGACTGATTGTAGCAAATAAAGCATAAACACGCGTGATAAGATTTAAAAGGTAACCGGTTTTTGGAGGTGGACTGCGACTTTGGGTAGACTGAAGAGCATAATCAAGAATATAAACGGATTTTATAACACCATCATCTATGGCCACCTTTCTTACAAATTTCGTCATTTCTACCGCTCCTTAACTCTAAATAGCTGCTCGGTGAGTTGTAAGGTCAATCAAAGTAGTTGCTACTGCTTAACTCTGACCTGCTCACATGCATTTAATTGTCGAGTATCGGCTAAAATAAACAGGAACATACTTTTAATGCGGCTTGGAATAAATCTGCCTTATACAGTGACTGGGCAAAATAAAATTTATATTCATCCACTTCAGGAAACAGCTGAGTTAACTGTTCATAACAGTCAGAAGCACTAACAAAATCCTGTAACTGATAAAAACAATAACCAAGAAGAGAAAGTGCAGCCCGGCTGCTTGGATGGCTCAATAGTTGTTGGTTAAGGATATTTATGGCCTCTTTATACTTTTCGTCTTTTATCGCTCCATATATGGTTGACGTGAATTCCCCTTCTCTAATTTGCATAATTTTGTAAGCGTCAAAGAGGTGTTACTAAGGTTCACAGGTTTAAACAAAACCAAGTCCAATATCCAATATCCTGATTACGAGCTAGTATAAACCAGTGATTTCTTTGAGCTCGCTTCTTGATTGTGAGGTAGAGGTTCCAGATCTTCGGTGAGCTTCTGCGTAGTAAGTCCCGCCACTCGACTGCTTTAGCTCTGGTAGACTCCAATATCCAATATATCCAATATCGTTTTTACGAGCTAGTATAAACCAATTTGATTTCTTTGTGCTCGCCTCTTGATTGTGAGGTATAGGTTCTTGTGTTTCAATATCCAATGTCGTTTTCAAGAGCTAGCGTAAACCTACTTGATTTCTTTGTGCCTGCTTCTTGATTGTGAGGCAAAAGTTCTTAAGCCTCTTTAGACTTCTGCGTAGTTCGTCCCGCCACTAGACTGTTTTGGCTCCGTTTGACTCTATACTTATTTTTTATTTTTTTTTAATTTTCGATTATAACTTGATTCCATACTGTACTTTTGGTACAAGTATGGAATTTTCAGCATGGATATCGGTGGCCCAAATTTTTCAGGCCGACCACAGATATCAGGTGTGCGTCGGTAGGGGGATCGAACCTCGGACCATGTGCATGGTTGGCGAGAGCCCTAACCACTATGCCACTGACGCCACCGACTATATTGAGAGGTGCTGCGATTATTTATGTGTTTTTTGTAGAATGTGTGGTGTTAAGACAGTGTTACTACAGTGAATGAAGCTGATCCTTTCACCAGTTATTCCTCCAGTGTCATCGACAAAAGAAAAGAGATAATAATAACAGATTTAACTAGAGTAGGTAATGCAGACTAAAGTACAAAAAAAGAAATAAAGAAAATATAAAACCAGACAGCTAATGAAATTCGAGATTGATATATATGTGTATATAATATCAATAATAATAGTAGGGGACGCAACATTTGGAGTAGTCAGGAGACTTAAACAAGAGAGGATGTGAAGAAGTAAAACAATTAATTTACCTGTCCACCCATTAAAAGTATATGAGATCTTAAGTCAATAGGCCGTTTTGACAGAGTACTTGCGTCGCTTAGTGATTGTATTATCTTCGTTAAAAGCTGTCCGCAGAAGGTGTTGTAGCTACATCTGCCGGTAGTGTGACCGCACTCGTCAAGCAGTGATCTGAAACATAGAGCAAAGAGCACACAAGTGCCGTGTGCTAGTAAGAACGAAGACTCAAGGTCAGGGGCTATATATACAGCCATTCGCAGTACAATTAGATGACAGAGAAGGGCGTTCCTATTGGTCATCCTTTGCCTCGTCTTGGGCGACCAATCTTTCCACACTTCGTAGACAAACTGAAATTAGACAAGTACAGTTTGAACATTAGAAAACTGCCGAACTTACCATGCTTTACAGTAGGGAGTTCCAGAGACGGTGAATATTCAGTGAAAAGAAGCGGGGGCGCACCAATGTCCTCGCCCTCTGGTGAGTTATCCCCCCAGGATTTCCTCGAAGAAGCCCATACCTACTGAATGCCAGAACACCTATGTTTGGGTGATTCTAGTCACTTGTTATCTTGTAGGCAGTAATCAAATCCCCCTAAGCCGACGGTAGCTAAGTATAAAGAGACCTACTTTCTTTGGCCATTCATCATACTCCTTGTTTCGGAGACCCATCACCCCTTTTTCAACCCGTCTTTGGACCCTTTCCAAGAGGTTGGTGTCTCTTCTAAGCACTGGGGGAGTAATGATGTAATGCACTTCAAGGTCTGGTCTGATGTATGTTTTGTCCAACTTTAGAAAGAGATCAGGATTGAATGCACCTAACTGTCTATGTATAAAGTGTATGACAGCGTATGCCCTCACTACTTCCCGCGTATAATTTACGCTTGCTTCCATTATTTCCGTTAGAACTAGACCTAAGCCGCGCTCCGACGTTGAGAGGGACAAGTTTTCATTTTACAGGGTGTTACTTGCATTCTGCAGTCTACAGGTCCGTAATTTCACTACTTTCCACTTTTTCAGGTTGAAAGTCATGCCACTGGGCACCGTTCAGTCTTCCAGAAGCCTTAGGTCATTCTGCGGCATATGTGACTCTTCTGAGCATTTTACCGCTCTCCAAATCTTTAAGTCGTCAGTGTAAGGAAGATTTGGGCAGCTTAGACTGCATGGTAGGTCGTTGACAAAATTCAGGAGCATCAGTGGCCCTAGGATGGAGCCTTTCGACACGCCTGATGACGAGCTGTGCCAGGGTATAGGGGCCCTAGTGCAGACTTTCCTTTTCTCCTAGGTAGTCCTTCAACCATGACATAAGCGGCTAACCTGTACCTGCCCGACTTATTTTCTGCAGGATAAGTTCATGATGAACTGCGTCGAATGCCTTCTCAAAGTGCAGGAAGACCACATGGTTTGTAACATTCACATCCCAGAATGGCGTTCAGTTGTCCCAAGCTGAAAGTAGGTTTGTTACAGAGGATTTGCCTTTCCTGAAACCATGTTGTGTTTTATGGAATGTATTGGTCCTATCGAGGTGCTCCCCGATGTGATCATCAATTATACTTTCCAGTAATTTTGATACCACTGGGAGTGGTGCTATTGGTCTATAACTAGTGACGTTTCGCCCATCCCAACCCCTGAAGATAAGGGAAGGATGGCTCTTTTCCACTCCTTCGTCAAATTCCCTGAACCCATAGAGGGTTGGAACGACCCACATAAGGGCCTACAGGAAGCTTCGGCTCAGTGTCTCAGAACAGATAGTCTGATGTGGTATCGAGGTGCTGAGAGGTTTCGTTAGTGAATAACGGACTTATTGAATATCGATTCCTGACTGGCACTGTTCTATGTTCCGCGCGTAAGTGATCGAACGTATTTATGAGACGCGCGCAGCCTCCCGATAACCGGTCTTTATCGGCTTATATAATAATTTCTACTGCTGGATTCTAAATAATAATTGCTTCAGACAGGTCCTGTTCGAAAAACCAAGTGTGTTGTGAGCATATTTACCTGTGTTTATGCGTTTTATTCGTCATTATCTCCTCCACCGAATGAACCCTTGAATAGACGTGGACAATAAATTCTCTCTTTTGTACTAGGGGCATGCTGATCGCAAAGTTACTGCGACGCACGCTGAGTTAACGACTTGTGTCGTTAAGAATTCTACAAAGATGTGTGGACACGTAAACGATTTATGTAATATGAGTTTTAAACCGAGGTATAGAGATCTCATTTCTCAATGCAATGAACAAGATTAGTTTGATAGCAGTCTATACTTGTTTTTACACTAGCGCATACTACAACTTTAAGTCATCCATTGTTTCTTCCACCTTGCTCAGGCTAACTTAGAACCAATGGAAGTCATTTTTCCTTTGCGATAGTAATTTCAAGTCCAAAATAAGCAACTGAAAGTGTGAGCTTCCTAAAATATCCCTTTTCCCTTAATCTATATGTCAAACAATGGTTTACAAGTTTCTCAGCCTTCAGAGTGCCTGTACCACAGCCATGTAGATTCAAATCCGGCGGATGTTCGCCCCCTATCATATCATTGCTCTAGGTCGTGTTGGATCTTAAACTCACGACTCACACAAAAGTGAGGGAACCTATTTACTATCCCACACGAATAATTTTCTTAAATCAAACGGTAAAGTTTCCACCGGTTGTCAACACCCATGTATCCAGTGTAAGGATAAAAACAATGTTGTCAGTTTAGTTGAATATTGAACGATCAATTCATGGTTGTTTGCTCAAAACCAACTTCCCCAATTTTCGCGGAGGCATCAATACGACAGTCATCGTCTCATCGGTCGCTGTTCAGAAAGAAGTCAGCAGAAAACCGTCAGAAGTAATACTGTGATTTATTTTTGTAATATCTGTTCACAGACCTTAGTTGTAACAGTGTTTATATGTTGGTGTTACAATAAAGAATCCTCGAGTCGCCAATTGGTGTTTTGGTTTTTTCGCCCGTTATTACTAAGCGTTTCTGAGAAACTTCAAGGAACAGCGTAGCAAGAGCTGGGCATTAACGGTTTACGAGACGTGGCTGACAAACGTATTCGAAGAGTGGTCTTCATGGCATTTTTTACGTGGTGTTATTGTAATGCTGAATTGTAATTGTTTAAGGAACTGAAGAAATTCATGAATTCATTTGAGCTCCAGCCACTACTGCTCCAACGTTCAACTTATGTATCTGAACCGACTAGGCGAAT